GTTGTTGGGATGTATAAGTACCCTGCCACGTCCGGTCTGTATTTTTGTTAGATTTATATCTGCTTTGTATCGATCTGGTGAGTTAAGCCTTTTCAACTGAATTTTATAGTTTGTTAATTCTTATATTGTACTGTTACACCACTGTCCCAGGTTAGGGGAGGGTTGGCGCCTTCAAACTAGTTTAACCCCGCCACATTCTGTATGTGCCTGTCCGAAGTCAAGAGGTGGTCGTTTGTTGATGTATATCATATAAATAAGGAGATGTGGTATGAGTGCCAATAAGACAACTCTCCATCCATGTCTCAATGTATAAAAAGTTAACAATTATAGGTCAAAGTACGGCCTTCAACACATAGCCTCATCTCACACCTATGAACCACACCAATATACGACAACTACTGAACAACAGGATCCTGACTTAGGAAAGGTGCATAAAAATGTATGCTAAATCAGGCCGTTAGTTTTCTCGTTTGAATTGTTTTACATTTGTCATTTCGGGGCCTTTTATAGCTGTCTATGCGGTATGCGTTTTGCTCATAGTTGAAGGCCGTACGGTGACGTATAGTTGTTAATGTCTATATCATTTGGTCTCTGGTGGAGAATTGTCTTATTGGCAATTATACCACACCTTCTTATTTTTAGATTAATACATGGTCTTTTCCAGAGCGGCCCGGGTATCATCTCGAGACCCCCATTAAAGGCCGAGTCTATGGTTGATATGTGTCGAGGGGTGATACGTACCCGGGTCGATATGGAAAAGAACATGACTGTATTAGGTTATCAGCCTTTGGTGTGAATTTATGGCTAGTTTACTTTCTTTTGTTACTCGTATATGCAAAAAATATCATAATTATGCGCTAAGTATATGATTAATTTACACAATATTATATTGATATCAGTTGCCCGATGTTAAATGTCGACTATCCCATTAATAAACTATATATCAGTTGAAGTCTGGAGCTGGCAAGTCAGTAACTGTTAGTTGTCCTTTGTTAATTTATGTATTATTGTCATTTTGCTTAGTTTCTTTTGTTACCTATTCTGACATCGGACTCGGACTTCTTTTGAACTGAGTTTTACTGTGCGTATTACTGTGTGTTTGTTTATTCTACATTGGCTAGAGGTATATGGGGAGGGTTGAGATCTCACAAAATATGTTAAACCCCAAGTCAGGAGCCTCTGTCATTTGTTAGTATTGAATTTTTTTTTTTAATTTTAGTTCATTTATATGTTGTAGAGTTTAGTGTGACGTCCATTTTCACTGAACTAGTACACATTTTTATTTAGGGGCCAGCTGAAGCCCGCTTCCGGGTGCGGGATTTTCTCGCTGTGTTGAAGACCCATTGTTGGCCTTTGGCTGTTTTCTGCTCTTTGGTCAGGTTGTTGTCTCTTTGACATATTCCGCATTTCCATTCTCAATAATATAATATAAAAAAAGGATGTCGACTACAGTTGAACAGACTACATGTCCAATCAACATATGACTTCTCCAAGTTCTCCGTATATGGGTCATTTTAAAAAAATGTCGAATTTTCAGTACACCCATGCTTAATTTTTTATTTCTAATAGAAAATACAGTTGTAAGTGTTAAATCAAAGTTTGTAGGATTTATGAGTCAGAACATTAATAATAAACACGATTTAGATCTATTCTGATAAGATTAAAATATATTTAAGTCCGATTTTTGCGTAATTTATGTGCGTAGTGTCCGAGTAACACAATTCAAATGATTTTTTTTCCTATTTTCTGATCGCCTTGATATCTGCAAAAGAGACTATTTTTAGAACGTAAATAATAACTCTAACAAAAAATCGTAGTTTCTTTATTATTATATGTAACATTTTTTCTACAAACTATATTCAATCAGCGTACATGAAGTTCATGTCCATCCTGTTACCGCTACTTAAATCAGACGTTATTTCTCTCTCTATGAATATTGAACTAGTCAGTGTTGATTTCAAAAGCGCAAAGAAACCTAAACATTTAACACAGCACGTTTCTTGTATAACAGTGTAGAGAAAAGAAATTTCAAGACATTTAGTGAAAAAAATTAGTGGGTACTTTTTGTCATGTCTATGCTGTTACCAACAAATTGATTAATTACACCAATATTATACTTGCAAAAAGTGCAATAACCTGTTGGAAACCAAAATCACAACATAAGTACATTATCACTTCATCAAAGGGAGTAGTCATTTCACAACAGCATTCAAAAATGAAGACATTTGTCTATCCTGTTACTATGGTTGCTATGGTTACAGTAACAGGATAGACAATAGTAAACAGAAACGTCTCTAAAAAGTTTATAATAACATATAGTTGCACACATAATGAGATGTTTCGTTGTTTGAACTCATCTAAAGGTTATAACGTCTTAATCTTCCCAATTTAGCATTTGCAGGTGCAATACTGCTATCGGTAACAGGATAGACAAAAAGGTAACAGGATAGATCTTAATATAGTGATATATCATTAACGTACGTTCCTGTTACCAATAAAATAAAGACAAAAGTAAACCAACGTGCGAGGGATTTACTTGATGTTGGGTTTATTTGAAAGAGAGAACAAATGCTGAACATTATGAATTGCTATCTTAGACTTGCATTACTGGTGGTTATTTTTATAAACTTTGAAAACCAACATTTAGAGGCATTTTTCAATACAATATGGAATATTGGCAAATAATCTACTATTTCACAGAATGAATATATTTAGAAGTTTTTACTCTTGAAAACCATCTTATTGGCTACGAAAAACAAGCTTAAAATTTTATCGAAACCTTTTCTAAATAACCCGAAATTTCTTTTGAACATGGTAACATGAGAGACAAAATATTGCACTACCTATCAAAAAATGTTTCAATATATTCTTGTATGACATTATCAAGATTGCATCTTTTTATATGTTGTTCTATAAGTACTGTTTGTTTTGATTTGTTAATGACGAGGGTTGTTTGAATAAGTAACTTTAAATCAATTTTGCAATTTCAAAATTCGACATTTTTTGAAAATGACCCGTATATATCTCATGTCTGTTTAATTAATTAGTGACAAAATAATATGAAATGAAACGAAATGCTTACTGCCGCAAGTCTTTGATGTTATGAATTTCTCAAGTACTGTCGATAGACAAAAAGATCCGGATGAACATACTATGTCGGTATATTGAACAGTAACATATGATAAATGACGATAATTATCAGCATTACTGATCCTTTAAATATGTATATATATAAGCTCAGTTACTGAAATAATTGGAAATCACAACTCAACAGATAATGAACGGGGTGGGTGCGAACTATACAAGATTTCGATTACAGGCGTGCAGCTTTTATTTAAAAAAATATATCATTCATAAGATAAGAAAGGAGTGGTGCACAGTGTTTAGAAATAAGAAGATGTGGTATGAGTGCCAATGAGACAACTCTCCATCCAAGTCACAATGTGTAAAAAGTAAACAATTAAAGGTAAAAAAAAAAAACGGCCTTTAACACGGAGCCTTGGCTCACACCGAACGGCAAGCTATAAAGGGTCCCAAAATGACTAGTGTAAAACAATTCAAACAGGACAACCAACGGTCTAATCTATATAAAAAACGAGAAACGAAAAACTCTTATGTTTACATACATTTAATCAGAGGGTGAAAATTAATGACAGATCATTTAAAAAATAACTTTAATGAAATTGCACCCCGCTGAAATATTTGACATACATGTAATTATAAAAAAAAAGTTACCAATTCCAGCCGCACGTGGGAGAAGCCTTCATAAAGAAAAGAACCGCCTCGGTAGTCTCGTGAGAGCGAGATGTTGTGGGTTCGAACCCCGGCCGGGTCAAAACCAAAGACTTTGAAATTGGCATTTGCTGCTTCTCCGCTAAGCACGCTGCATTTAGGAGTAAGAGCAAAGACTGGTCGGCTCGGAGTCAGAATAATGTGTCCGGGTAAGGTGACATATCTTCCTGCGGACTGTTACCTTGAGAACAATAGCACGTTAAAAGTCCGGTCTAGTACAAAGCAGGGTGAATTTTCATATTACATTAACATGTTCTCGTCCTGAATATGCATATCAATTTGCCACTGGACGTTAAGCAGCCATCCATCATCATCATCATCATCATCATCATAGAGAAAAGCGCCCCTCCCTCGTATAAACATGATAAAGATGATAGTATCTAGACAAGTACACTTTAGTATTTAGTCTGAAAATATTATGAAAAGGTAAAAATTGTCTTCTATGGACACATTCATCTACCTTAGAGATTTGACTTTCATTATGGACTTGTCGTCCTCTTATAAAGAAATGTCTTAGGTATTGGATTTAAAAGGTTTCGTAAATACGTGTCGCAATCTAATATATAGTCCGTTTCCGTTCTATAAATCTTCAAAAATAAATTATTAAAAATCCAAAATTCACTAGCCGAAGATGAATTTATATACAATATTTTCTAATTGTTATACAAACCTCCGACATTAGCAGTACATTTCAATCCTATATACAATTGAAAGACTCTTGACAAAGATCATCAAATGTCATGTTAAGAATTTTGACTAGAACACTTGACCAGTTGCTGTTACGGTCAATTCATTCACCCTATAGCCTCTCATTCACCTTGACTGTGATAAAATGAAATTTATTGTCAGAGCTCATATACTAGATATATACATAAATAAACACTACCTAAATAGCAACGTAATAAAACAAATCCAATTTGTAATCTCAGAGTTTGTAATAATTTATTGTTGAACATTTATAGACGGACTATAATACAAGTAAAGTATGCAACATTGATGTTGATGATTTGTTTACGTACGCCACAGGTAAATGTAATGCATAAAAACCATGTAACTTTGCGATATAACTCTAATGTCTTATTTCATATACGACTGCACACATCGTTTTTTATTAAAGTAATAAATGCACCTTAATTTAGATTTACTATCCTTAATATTTCATTTGTATTTAACGATGAAATTTGACTCTTATTTTTTAAATGAGAAGCTCAAGCCTTTCCCACACTCAACGAATGAAGCACTTAAGATGTATATTTACTTGTTTCTCATTAGTTTGTCCTACATTTTGTCGAAAGTTCATTGTATTTGATGAAAATAATACCGATTGCCTTGATCTTTGAGTGTAGTTATATTTCAACATGGCGGTAGGAAAAGAAAAATGCTTGGAGATTGTGAAAGCAAACTTGCTGGTACTTTTGACCTTAGTGGGGGCTGCAGTTGGATTTATTATAGGTGTGGTTGTTCGGAATACAAACCCAACGGACAGCACACTCATGTGGGTTGGTAAGTAAATTATAGTAACTTTTGTATTTTATTTTGACCGATGCAAAAACAAACAACAAAATTTTCATTTTTTTTATACTCTGAACAAAACTTAAGCTTCAAACAAACAGAAAACAGTTATTTATATATTTATAATATTCATGACTTTAGCTTGTCTTTAACGTATCCAGCGTCTGACTATCTATTAATAAGACTTGTAATCAATTTCCTTCGGTTGCTTATAAACAAAGTGAAAATGAAATACATTCTCGCACCCTTTGTAATATCAGTAATGCTTTCAACAGTTGAAGCTACGTCCTGCATATTGCACATCTCAATTTGACTGTAAAAATGAAGAAAGATGAATTAGAAAATAAATTTAGTACGTGCATTTCTATAGATGTTTAATATTGCATGGAACTTATCGATGTACATTTTCAACCATTCGGCCAGCCAACGGAGCGGAGTGACTTGTACATGTTGTAACAATGATTTCATTAGTAGTATATGCCAACTGTTATTGATACGATTCAATTATTTTTCTATGATAATTAATTTTGCAGGTCAATTTTCTTCTTTAATTTAAAAAAAAAGGTTGTATTCTCTTTTATACATTTCAACTGCTTTTTTATTTGAAGCAAAAATAAGTCAACAAAAAAGTTACACCCGACATATTTTCTCGACCATAAATTTCTGATTACGTACTTATTTTGATTAAAACTTTGTGGCAGATCTTAGATAGTCGATGTAAAATTTATATACATTTTATTTTCTAGTTCGGACGATGTAGATCTTGAGATAGATAGATTGTATACTAGTATGTAAACACTTGTCTATTCTTGAAGAACAGAAAACTATGTTGACCTTTATATGACCTTTTGAGTTTTTCGTGCCATTGTGTATCAGCCGTTTTGACGTATATTTCACATTTTTATTACCAAATTATAGACCAATAACAAAAATACAATATATTGTTTTCAGCTTTCAGCTAGAAAATTACTTCCGTAAGTGATTTTTAACAAAGTACCGCATAGATCATTTGTTTTTGCAAGTTCTATTTTTTCAACGAGAATACTTATTTATTCTTATTGAAGAAAATTAGAATAAAAATTCAATTTTTGAGACAAATGAAAAGGTACATTCATTGTGGTCACTTCTTCTAACATTTCATTGCATATTAGCATGTCTGTTGGTAAGTTGTTCACCATTTAAAATAATTTGATCAGATTGTTTAGGCCGCAGATACGTTTAACGATACATTCGCTTATGGAAGTAGTTTGTTAGTCCTCGCAATAGCAATGTCTGTATTTCAATCAAACGTTTAATTATTCTTATATCGCGTGTTCCTTTTTTATTCTGACTTTTGATTTATGCAAATGATTTTCGAGATTTTTCATTGATAAAACATGAACTTTTGATACAACATCTAACCTGCATTTAATGTCATTGTGCATCTAGCTGCTCCATGAAGTTCTAATCTAAATGAATTGAGTTGTTCTATTGCAAATGATGGACTTTGTCAAATCTTCGAATGTCGATAGGCAACCCATAAATTTCTACACCACCGACGGAATCACGACACTTGTATAGAATCTTGTTTGCATAGTGCTATTGCCTATCTTCTTTTGTCTTTATCATTTTGTTGCCTATCTTCTTTTGTCTTTATCATTTTGTTCTTATTTCATTTTTTCTGGGATGGGGTCACATTTAAAAGATTGAATTATATATTGTGATGAGGAGCGGGTGTAGGAAATTGTGAGCTCCCTCACAATATTTCCATATTTCCAGTTAAGAGCTTATTGCTTGACAGCCAGTAGAAAACAATATTATATTACCAAATCACACAATATTTAGTTTTTTTGTTTTGTTACCCTTTCTTGTTTGTAGAGCGAAAATAAATTTGAAGAAGAGAGAGCTTGGCATCCAGTAAAAAAAAAAGTGGTACATTTTAATATTTATGTTTAAAACAATATTTGAGAATGTATAAAACAATGTTTGCTCATTTAATGTACTTAACTATTTAGTGACAAAACGTATAAACAATTATTAAAGCTTTAACTTGTGTTTGTAGGTATCTTAGGAGAGATTTACCTAAACATGCTGAAGATGATGATAGTTCCTCTCATAGTAGCCTCAGTTATAACAGGTAAGTAGGTTGAACTAAAGTGATTACAGATGGACTGCTTTTTACTTGGAATTGAAGTGAAAAATAGGAAAGGCCCCATCAACATCAAATTCTTCAAATAAAAAACTATTAAATGACAACCATGCACTGACGAGTTTCCTGATAGGTTCGTCTTTGAAGAGGTTTTTCATGAACATATAGCGGGGTTAAACATTCTTATGCATGATTCTTAATGGGATTCGTTTCTCACATATTCAATAATGTTTGTCTTCAGTAGTATTACCATTACTATCCAAAACTTTGGTCATATAATTATATGATTATTTAACATTTTTACTTACATCTGACAATTATGATTTGTTACTAGATAAATTGATAACATAGATTTTGTTTATTTACATTGATCTTTGAAAAAATGAATGACACTTTTAGCTATCTATGCTAAAAAAATTATGCACATATGTTTTGTAAGAGATGAAAGAGCGATATGTTTGTAAACAGTGGATAATTGGGTCATTCCTATGAACTACTCCCTCGTGTATGGGTGTGATTCTTGTCAGGGTTTTGCATTATTATTTGTCTTTTTTGGTATAAACAACGCTTCCACTTTGTATTAGGTTTTGTATTTTCAAATATTTTGACTTGATCATCATTAAAGAGACTTGTCGAAACGTGCATCTTGTGCTGTGCAAGTAACGTTAATGTTATTAATTGCAATTTGCCAGATTCTGGGGATGTTTAAAGATCAACTGTTTAGAAATGAAATTTTAGTTGACTACCATCAAACTGAAATCATTATAACTGCTTTACTGTACATGGATAGACTAATCATTGGCTATTTATTCATTGTTTTATTTATGGTCCAATTGCCAAAAACAGCAACAGTTGAAGCAACATTTGACAATACATGTAAACGAAAACACTTTTGTAATGATTATGTAAATAACCTTTTTAAATTAAAAATATAAAATAATGAGATAGGGTATGACAGCCAATGAGACAAATTTTCACCAGAGACCATATGACGTAGACGAAAAAAATCACAAAACATTCAAACGAGAAAACTAACGGCCAGATTTATGACCAAAACAATATAACAAGGTCATACAACCTCCTTGAATAAACAAAAAACAAATATGATATACAGTAACAAACAACAACCACCACATTTCAGACTCGTAACTAGGTACAGGCACACAAAGAATGTTGAACATTAGAAGACTCACTTTTCTTAAATTTAATTCATTTATCATTATACTTTATTTGATTTAACAGGAACAGCTACCCTAGACCCTAAATCAAATGGGAAAATTAGCTTAGTTAGTTTGGGTTATATCATGTCAACGAACTTCCTTGGATGCTTAGTTGGTAGTATACTTTGTGTGATCATCCGACCAGGTAATATATTCATATCATAGTTATATGATACTTGACGCAAATAATTTAATGAATTAACAAACAAAAAATCCACAATCCATAATTTACACACTTGTTAATTCACAATTGAACAAAATCAATGTACTTTACATCTATTGAAGTTCAACGACGTTAGTACTTGTAACCATTTTACTCCGTTAGTCATAAATCAAGGACTTTCTAAAGTATGCTGTACTTGGGATGAATTGTTACCTCTACTAAAATTTGCCAGTTGCTTAACATTTCCTAAAACATCGAGTTTTGAAAATATGCAACATCTTTAACTTGCATCATAAATACATCTTCTTTAGTAAAAAAACTGTAAACCCGATAAATACGATTCTGGTATATTTTTATTTGTCAATGAATGGCTATATTTTAATATTTTCTTACCTCAAGTTTTTCTTACCTCAAGTTTAAAACCAGGTTTAATCCACCATTTTCTACATAAGAAGATGCCTGTACCAAGTCAGGAATATGACAGTTGTTATCCATTCGTTTGATGTGTTTGAGCTTTTGATTTTGCTATTTGATTATGGACTTTCCGTTTTGAATTTTACTCGGAGTTCGGTATTTTTGTGATTTTACTTTTTACTGGTCTGATACTAGTCCAATAATTATGACGTCTTGAAAGGCTATTTTAATTTTTTTTTCTGTGACGCCTTCCTACGACGTCATAATGCTGAAGCCATTTTTCCGTCTGGACTTTGAGAGCGAATTCTGGGGGGAACTTTGAGACCCAATTTTGGCATGGACTTTTCATTGCCAGCTAGATATTTTTGCATAGTTACAAAGTCCTACCTTTTTGTGCTTATTGATGCAAAATATTTCCAGAAATATCCAAAAGATATGATAAAATAAGATACGATTCCATTTAAGGTGAGCAAATATTTACTTAATTTCAAAATGGTTTCCCAGAATTTCCAAAATACGTCACTTCCGGAGAGTATAAAATATCAAACTAGGTAAAACTTGATGCACCAAAATTTCCGGAACGTTCGATTTATATTATCCGGAAATTCTGGTCCATCAAATTTTACCGAGTTTGATATTTTATACTCTCCGGAAGTGACGTATTTTGGAAATTCTGGGAAACCATTTTGAAATTAAGTAAATATTTGCTCACCTCAAATGGAATCGTATCTTATTTTATCATATCTTTTGGATATTTCTGGAAATATTTTGCATCAATAAGCACAAAAAGGTAGGACTTTGTAACTATGCAAAAATGTCTAGCTGGCAATGAAAATTTTATGCCAAAATTAGGTCTCAAAGTTCCCCCCAGAATTCGCTCTCAAAGTCCAGACGGAAAAAATGGCTTCAGCGTTATGACGTCGTAGGAAGGCGTCACAGAAAAAAAATTATAATAGCCTTTCAAGATGTCATAATTATTTGGACTAGTCTGATACAGTCTTGAAATGCGTGTTTTGTGATTTAATTACAGGTGAAATCGCTAAAACAGAAGTTAAAGCATTTAACTCGGTTCCTTTAGAAACAGAGGACATTTTCGCAGATTTACTGAGGTATAATAAGGAGCGATTTAGACTTACTTTATAATTCATTTTTATTGTAGACAATAAACTGAAGACAGGAATTCTTACACATGAACTTAAAGTACAAATACATTGTTTTACACCTTTAAAGAAGGATGTAATAAGTTTTATTGTTGACTAATACACACTTCTGTTATACTACGAGGACATACCTGTCTCTGTAGCTCAGTACTTCGGTATTTTCATGAAAATATGGATATCGTTCTATTGAAATTATTATAATGTTTTGTTATACGTAATGCGCATCTGATGTAGGAATGTTGTTACAACAGAAACACAGGTAACATTTGACCATTGTTATATTTTATAAGCGTTTACTTTCAAATCAACGAATTTACCATGGCAAATTAATTTTCTGTACACTGTAAGGTCAAATACAAGCTGAAATAATTTGTAAACAAATTTTTATAAGCCCGTTTATGGGACGTATTATGGTATACCGTTGTCCGTCCGTCCGTCCGTCCGTCCGTCTGTCCGTCCGTTTGTCCGTCCGTCGTCCACATGTCGGACAATAACTGAAAAACGCTTTAAGCAATTTGCAAGAAACGTTGGTGAATTGTTTATATCTATTGACGTAAACTCCCTTTCGATTTTTATAAATTTTGGATTTAACGTTTCCGAGTTATGGGATTTTATTCATTAAAAAAGGGGGATTTTCCAGTTTTCAGACAATAACTGAAAAATGCTTTGAGCAGTTTTCATGAAACTTTGGTGAATTGTTTATATCTATTGACTTAAGCTCCTTTTCGTGTTTTATAAATTTTAGATTTTACGTTTCCGAGTTATGGGTTCTATTCATAAAAAGGGTGGATTTTCCAGTTTTTGGACAATAACTCAAAAGTGAGCAGTTTTCATGAAACTTTGGTGACTGATTTACATCTATTGAAATAATCTCCCTTTAGATTTTTTATAATTTCTGATATGACATTGAGAAGTTATGGCATATCATTCGCTCATGGTGCAGCTCTTTTTTTTTTAATGTAATGTCAAAATTTAAATTATCGACAGGAATGCACATGTATAGAGCATCTGAAAAACATTTAAATATTTCAACTTTTTCAATACTCTGTACGAAAACAAAAACACGTACAATGAAAAAAATCTCCAAAAATTGCTTGAGAGTTTACTCTCCATACACTAAAAGCCAACTGATTTCACGTGCTTTTCTCAAATAAAACGTTATACGGAGGTAGACCAACGGCCTGAGTGAGAGTCATATTAGTTTTATTGTTATTATTATTATTATCAGAAGTGGTAGTGGTAGTGTTAATATAACTGCTACAAAAATGTAATACGATATAGTCATTTGAAGTTAAATTTCCATTTAATTTAATACAAATAGAAAGAAGAAATATATTCTAACGATTCGCTTTTTTAAACATAATCGACACCGATATTAACATGTTCTATACTAAAGACAAGTGAAAACTTCAATTATTTCTTTATTGTATAACATAAATGGCCTTTGTCTCTGTAAAATATCAGAATGAACATCTTAAATGAATGCCAAACAAATTTAATGACATGAGGTTAACTATCAAACATTGTCTTGAATGACTTGATGTCTCTTAGTTTTTTTGTGCTGTTGGGTTGTTGAAGAATACCCGACATTTTATTTTATTAGAATTTGCAAATATTGATTGAATATTTCAGGCATTATGCATGGACAGTTATTTTTCATATTTATATCACATAAAACAGCTGTTTCATGCATTCTCTTTTTGTCAATCTATATAGCATATATCTGATATTCTATTTACAGAAATATCTTCCCCGACAATTTGATATCTGCAACTTTTCGCAAGGTAAGCTATTAACAGAGTTTTAAAATATTTTTTTCATGCTGTAATGTTGCAGAAGCGCGCCCAACTTTACAATTTCATGTTTAAGTGTTATTTGTCTCTCACTATCAATATGTATAGGTACAGATGAATTATTATCATATTTGAGGATACAAAAACAAGTCTTAAAAAAGGTTTCTTTATTTTATTTTATCTTAAAATATGTTTTGTTTTTTGTGCATTTATCATCTTCTCGCAACAAAGTTACCGACTGACTATATATAAGTTTGCCTTTCCCTTAATTCTGTTTAAAATATTTAGTTTATCCAGAAGAGTTGTACTCTTTCAAACCTGTGTTTATCATAGCAAAAAATTAATAGATATTTTAGGGATATAAGTAAAATGTGTTTCTAGTTTAGAACAATATATGTTGCGGTTACCTCGCTTTTAATGAAATAAAATATTTTAATGAATACTGCATTTATCAAAAACAAAAGCTCATTCAGTATTTGCCCATTTGTTACAATTATGAAAATACTGCATATAAACTTTTTAATAATTTATTATAAATCATATGAAAAGTCCTATAACAAAATAATTTGCATCGTCGAAAATTGCTTTATAAAAGAGAGGCGGAAGATACCAAAAGGGATATTCAAATGCATAAGTCGATGAAAAAGTGATATTCCCATGTCAAAAAACGAAAAACGACCGACATACTATTTTCATTTAATAGTTAAGTGCAACTAGAATACGGAAACTTTTAGGGAAAAGGTATTACATACGTATCTGTATCTGTTGCACTATTAAATGCATTATCTAGAAGCCTATATAATTTCAAGGTAAGAGTCATGTAAAGGTCACAAAATAACACGAGATTAAAGTCTTAACTCTAGCTTTGCATCTAATATTTATTGAACATCATTAAATGTTTTTCCACGGAAAGAGCTGGAATCTCCTTTTTCATTTCAAAAAAATGATGTCATAAATTTGTTTACGGGATTAATGCTTGTGAAAATTCAACGTCACTGGATAGGTTAAATGAATGAGCTTGTATGTATCATGAAATGGCGTACTTAGCGATACCTAATAATGTTTGGGGTTATCTCATGATTTTTTTTTATTTGCAACCTTAATATTTTCTTTTTACCTTATTTTTGGCCTCATTATTTTGTGTTCATAAAATTTTCATCAAAACAATTTTACTTGCATAGCAACAAAAGCAAATCCCCGGCAAAAATGAAAGTCTGACTTTCATGCCTTAGCTTAAGTTTTATTCGTTGTATAGAGAAGAAAACATACATATATTCATAGGATTGTAACACGTGATTGTTGTTTGTAGACAATAACCAGCTACGATACAGAGAAGTACAAAGGAAATGAAACTATTAATGGGACAACCGTAGAAGTCATAAAGACTATGGTGACTGGAAAAAATCTATCCAGTGCTGATAGCACAAATATTCTAGGTATAGTTCTGCCGAGGGGCTTTGTTTAGATTTATTAGTTAACATAGGAACAATGTATACACATAAAATTACCAAAAGGGATTTTACTTATTTCAAAAAGAAATGATAAGGAAACACAGAAACCATGGGGAGTACTGTATTTCTAGCCATGTTAACCTGTTCATTCTACAAACCTTCAGAAATGATAAACTTTACATAAACATACGCTTGAGTGTATACTAAAACAACATGTCAATCACTCTAATAATTATTTTACCATAGGAATATGCGGCAATAATTTTTTTTATATCATAGCAATCACATAAAAGGAAGCAAACTTTTTTTCATTGTTACATTATTAATTTATACAATTAACTTTAATCTATTTTGATAAATATGTGCGAAAATGTAAATCAGTATTTTTTTTTATTTATTATAATACAATGTATTTATGTAGGTCTTTTGATTGCCAGTGCCGTATTTGGCATTGCAACTGCGTCAACAAAAGAAATTGGACAACCTTTCTTCAAGTTCTTTTACTCAGCTACTGAAATTATCTTGGTGATTTTAGGAAAATTAATTTGGTAAGGATTTGAAAATAATTTGTGAACGTTATTTATTGCCAAATGACAAACAACTCATAAATACCAGGCTCAAAATTTTGAACACTAGACGCGCGTTTCGTCTACCAAAAATTCATCAATGACGCTCGAACCAAAAACGTCTAAAAGGTCATTCGTTGTTGTGATTTTTCTTTCTTAAGTTTTATTTATACTTTGATCCGGTAGTTGGATTGATGGAATTATGCTGATTATCGACTTGACCACATTTTAAATCATCAGTAGTCACCGATTGATAAAAAAAAATTCGCTGAAAGGGATACATTTATTCAGAGTGTAATGTAAGAGAAGTTACGTAACCAAATTGCATTATAAATGTACATTTATATTTAACATCATGTCTGACGTGTATGAAACTAAACGATGCTTTTTGTGACTGTGTTCTAATAACGCAAAATGAAAATGAACCAGTAAATTTAAGGGATCAATTTGTTTATTTCTATACAAAGTGACAATATCATATATGATATACCAGAAGATAAAAAAAAATCGAAAATTAAAGACAGATGATGATGTTGATAATAGATCTACAATATTCTGTAGTGAATTTGTTCAGGCTTCATGAAGATTCAGTAAAATTAAGATGAAAGGCTTTGAATTTTTCAGCCTATATATTAACATCTGCATAATTATCTGGTTTGTCATTGGTTGCATGAACAGTCTGGTTACTACCTTATTAGAAGTTAGGTAGTTAGGTTATTCATATCGGGAAGTTTAATTTTAGGTTTACACCAATTGGTGTAGTGAGTCTGATTGGTAAAACTATTGGAGGAACAAAGAACTTAGAGGACGATTTCAGTAGGCTTGGTTTATACATAGCAACACAAATGATTGGTTATTTACTCTTCATGATAGTAGCAGTGCCAATTACATATTTCATACTGATGAAAATGAATCCGTTTAAATTTCTTTTCACTGTTATTCATGCTTTTGTGATAGTGTTTGCTACTTCTAGCACGTAAGTTAGAGTATAGACAAAACAAAAAACATAGTGAGTGTTAAGAACACAGATATTTCTGCACCAACATTAAATATAAAGCAACAGAAAATGAATTCAAAATAGCATTCATTCATCTAGCATGAATACGCCAGACATATAGTCAATCCATATCTAAAGATTTATTTGATGCATATAACTATAGCATTATATAAGCAGATATAGTTGCAGATACTATAAAACTCACATCAATAGTTTTAAAAGAAATCTGTTATACAAATATTCAAAATTAGTTATCTATAACACTAATTTATAAAGGTTAAAGATTTACCATTAATTGCTCGACTGATATATATTTCACTCTGCAACAGTGTCCTTTGACAACAAGTCTTTATATCACAGACGTGAAAATATATCCATCAGAAAATAAATTATTGTTGCATCATGAAACTAGAATGTAGAAAAATTCCAATGAGTATCAGAATTGGTATAATCTAAGGAACTGTAAAACTACTCATGGAATTCAATCTAATATTTTGCAAAATTAATGAAGAATTTCGCGTTAATGAGAGTAATAGTGATAGGTATGTAGTGTTTGGAATTAAGATAACTCAATAAAGTAAAGGTTTACTAATTTTGGTTAACATAATAAGTATTTTCATAATTTCATTGAAATATTTAGAAATACACAACATGGCAGCAATCGTATTTTGCTTGAAAAAAACATTGATGGAAAATTAGAAAAATTGAATTGAAAATTATTTGATATAAAGTTGATATGAGTTGCAAAGCATACATCTATTATAAACCTGACTATTTCTCGTATCAGAGCTATAGCTATTCCTGAAAGTATACGACAATTAGAAGGACCGAACAAATTAGACCGTAGAGTGACTCGATTTGTTGTTCCATTATGTGCTGCTATTGGACGTTGTGGTAGTTGCATTTACATTAGTATCTCCTGTTTGTTTGTCATGCAAATCACTGACCAGGAAGTGGATGCTGCTTCGGTCATTTTAGTAATGTGAGTTTCTTACCGTTAGATTAAATAACATACGTACAAGATAATTTTTTGAAAATTAAATAACATTGATATATTTTAAATTCCAAAAGACGACCGCCAAATATATATATATATATAAATATCATTCTATTAATACAAAAAACTTATGTTCCATCATGCTGATCGTAACAGCAACATAGTTTTAGTAATAATATTATGTACATCTAAACAATGACTGATTATAGACAAATGATTATTTTAGCATTCTAACAACATTTTCGTCCTTGGCCATACCATCTGTGACAGGGGCTAGCTTGATTACTGTGATCATCCTACTCACTGCGTTAAATATTCCACCTGAAGCGGCAGCACTTCTTTACTCATTCGAATGGTTTTTGTAAGTATATTGTACGATGTAATCTAGATTGTGTTTTAGTTTTTTCAGATTTACAATCTACTACAATATCTTTTCTTGTTGGCGTCATTGCCATATTTATTGTATGTTGTTTGAATTTTTTCGTCAGTTGTGTTGTATGTCTGTGATGTATATTTACACAGTTTAGGAAGCTGGATCCCAATTATTGTCACTTTAAACGCTAATGTTTGTTTGGGTCGCTAACCTGATTTAGTGAATATAACTGAACGATAAACAACTGTCATACAAGTGGGAGGTTAAGCTAGCTATAAAATCAGGTTTAAACAACTATTTCTTCCGAAAGTTCCTGTACCAAGTCAGAAATATGATAGTTGTTTTCTATGCGTTCCGTTGGTTGACATAGTCTATTGATTTTGTCAGGTTTTATGGACTTTCCCTTTTTGAATTTACCTTGAAGTTTGTTTTTTTTTTATTATTCTTTTTAATGTATTCATGCTGTCATCGCACAAAAAGTAAAATCACAAAAATACTGAACTCCGAGGACAATTCTATCGGAAAGTCCCTAATCACATGGCAAAATCAAATGACAAAACACATCAAACGAATGGACAACAACTGTCATATTCCTGACTTGGTACAGGCATTTTCAAATGTAGAAAATGGTGGATTGAACCTGGTTTTATAGCGCTAAACCTCTCACTTGTACGACAGTCTTATCAAATTCCGTTATATTTACAACGATGCGTGAACAAAACAGACATTATAAATAAAATAGTCAAAATATGGGTACAGCAGTCATCACTGTGTTACAATATCAAAACAAACAATTATTTACAAAAAAGAACAAAAGCATCTATTGACGTTAGAAAATGTAAACGTGACATAAGAAGAAATTTTGTCATTCAATGTTTATTTAAAACAATTTTATAATTTCACATGTGGAATGTTGGTATACAGGGTTAAAAAATCAAAAACTATGTTAGAATAAATTTCAGAAATAGACCGAGATTTAAAATTGTCCAGAAGTTCTTTAGAATTTTTAAGAATCCACATATGGTTAATACCACTACGGGAGTAAAATAAATTTGTCGTTTGTCGTTCAAAGTATTTTCAAATTTATAATAGAACAATAACATAATGACATATAATAGAACAAGAACATAATGACGGGATCTTTTAAAGTACAGAGTCACGTTATAAGAACCACAGAAACACAAAAAGTCGCATATACAAAACACACCAGCAAAAATGAAAGATAATACAAACACATTGACGGGATGTCTAAGTACCTAGCCACGTCAAATGGATATCACAGAAAACAAACCAAACAGTAAAAGTAATATTAATAATAGAACAAAGACAAATGAAAGAACAATATTACACGTTGTTAAGATGATAAACAACGTCAGTATGCAGAATCTATACTTCAAGACCATCATGTATTATTTGTGAAGTTGATACGGAATATTTATCAACACGCCTTGTTACCTTCCGATGAACTTTTTTAGAAAAAGGACGAGACGTTCTTTGACATACCCCTGGTTCATCAACTTTCTGCTCAGACACTGGTGACGTTTAACAAAGTCTGAGTAGGAGCTGCAAGCTCTTGAATATCGAATAAGTTGGGAAATATATATCCCATATGCAGGTGAAGTTGGTATATTGCTACTAAGGTGGGGGAAATTTATAATTTTAAAATTAAAATCGTAACTGAGATGACTGTGTATGTTAAATTCGAGATATAAGTCTAAAAATGAGGCGGAGGAAGCCGTGTCTGTTGTTTCTTTAATTTCTACACTTTGTAAATACTTTTCCTATTTCAGAGATAGGATGAGGTCAATTACAAACTACAGCGTACAAGTGACATGTGTAGTATTTACACAGAGGCTGTGCTTATCCTCGTTGAAGACTAATAATAAAGAGGATGAAACATCTGCGGTATTAAATGAAAAAGAAAATGGAATTCAAATAGCTGAGATTGTTGACGACGAAAAACATTTCTCAGAGGAAACATTTAATCAACGCTTTTGAAATACTCCGTGGAATTTATTTTAGTCAAACTTACATTTGTAAATAGTAGTAATTATACATAACTATTGAACTGAATTCAAGTCTCACAAGGATCAGCACACCAAATTATTTTGTACTTCAATGTATTCATGCATTTATAAAAGACCGATATTGCATAATCTTTTAATTGAAAAATTATTGCCTTAAAATATTATACCCAATATATCTTCTGTTCATAAATCCACCACATTGCATAGCTATTTATAGAATATATATTGCACCTCATTGTATGTTTTTATATAATATACTAGTAATGTTAAATGTTGTAAAAGTGCTATAAAATTATGTTTTACATTTAATAAATAATGCAACAATGAACAGAGTAAAGATGTTATAGATTATTGAAATGTCAAGACACTTATCAATTATCTTCATTTACAGAACTAATGTACAAAATCATAATCCGGTGCTGATTCTGCAATTTAAAGGGGGCGGGAAGAAAACATTAGGAATGAGACCTGTAAAAAGTCTATGCATTAACCATATATGAAGCTCCCTAAAGGGGCTGGTCCTCTGCCCCCTTTCCTTTTCCACCCCAACAAATCGACCTCTAGTAGCCACATTTCCACAAATTCTAGGTTGTTTTATACAGAAATGGAACATGTACATATCTCGGTGAAAATCGACGATTCAAACGCAAAAAATTAAGGTGAAATGTTCAACTTCAATTGACAGAAAAGAATAAATAATGATAAAATCGAACCTAGAAGGTTTGCTCCATATCTTGGTTTGTTTCTCGATGTTCTTTTTTTGAAATGTATTTATTTGCACAAAATACATGTATATATATATATATTATATGGTATAATTACGGTAATTCGTCCATTATAATAGTTTCATCGGTAAAATCAAGACAAATGTATATTGTTGAAACCTTTGACTAACTTGTTAATAAATAATGATGGTAAAAAACCTGGGCAGCAGTCTGGATTGGGAGGATATTTTTATTACTTAAAAGTTTACTTGTATAATTATTCTATTAGGTGGAGCCAGGGGTTCCAGCAGGAGTACGCTCTTTGCACTGTTTAATGTTTATAAAATATGATTTTTTTTCAATAAATAAATTTTCTTTCAGATTTTTTATCAAGCTACAATATTTACTTGTCCGCCTTGCTTTTTTGTTCTGTATATATAATATTTTGTTAACAATATTATGAGGTTTCTTATGTAGTTTTTTTCTTCGGTTTTTTCGAATATCCCAAATAAAACTATGTCTAAATCAAGTGGTAGTTTAAATTGGACTTTTGTATATATCCATCTTTTATTTTTTTCCCACACGTCAAATACTTTTAAACAAGTCCAGAAGATGTGTTTAATGGTTTCTATTGAGTCCATACATAACGTACCTTTAATGTTTTATATAACTTTAATTTTGTAGAGAAATTCATTTGTCCCCCAAATTCATTTTCCTCGATCTTGAAACAAATAGACGACTTCAAATTTGAATCTATGACAAACATAACAATATACAACTCCAATTTCTCAACATTAACATACGTTCTGACCAATCGCATGGTGTTTGCATATCTCAATTGACATGTTACGTTCGTGCATACCTTCTGACCCATCGCAAGGTGTTCACATATATCAGTAGACACGTTACGTTCGTGCTTATTCACATTAGATGGACTGCATTAACATGAGGCTGATCCTTACACAAACACTATTCAAAAAAAGTTATGAGGAAGAGATACTAATATTGACCCTACATTAGTTTACAATCGCTATCACGAATTTGTTGAACGATACAATACGTCTATGTCGCAGCTCACTAGCGAAATGTTTTGTTGGTTCTAGATCTTTAGATACCAGAATAGTCTGATCTGTAATTTACCCGAAATTTAACAGAATGTGGATTAGCATGGCGGCTAATGCATAGCATAGCAAGAAATGCTTACCTGATGTTTACTTGGCAAAAATGGCTTCCTGGACAAGGCGTACACTATAGCTTAGTCATTAGGGTCTGATATGCCATCCCTTTTCCCTATATTTGGAATTGTGAACAAATTCTACGGTCGACGCTCCCGGTCTCGCAATTAGATATCCAGCAACCCTCGGTTTTTTTTAACCTTTATAGTACGATGACAAGTAGGATAAATTAAATATTTTATGGACCGAAATACCTTACGGATAATTTTGGTCTTATTTTGAAGATAAATTTGATGCCCTTTGATTAAACCTGTCGTAAAATATCAGATATTTAAAAGTGTGGTCAAAGGGCAGAGGGGTGGATTTTAAAAAATCATATTCTTTTACAATATATCGGCCATCCCTCTTGATAACTGAGAGCATATTTCTATGGAATCATGCTCTAGAATCGTTGCACAAATTCAGCTTATCATATTAACGCATTATTGCTAGAGATAAATGACGTATACCTTCGCTTCCAACATGTAATACTTCTGAAATGGTCGATATAAAAGTGTCTCCAATTGGTTTGAAAACCTAACAACCACGGCAAGGTCCAAGACCACGTGCACGTGCAGGCTTTTTTTTTTTTTTGGTGTTGTTTTGTGAGGTTTTTTTTAAAGTCAAGTCGGAGGCCAGTAGTAGTAAAATACATGACATATTGAGCCTTGAGATTCAGCGCTCAGTCATCACCCTCATTGTAGCAACCTTCTGAAAACAGTCTGATGAGTAATCACCACTGCCCTAACAACAACATATCCTTGTGCACGACAATTTCTGTTAGTTGCATACGCAAGATTTGTTACAAGTAGTTTTTAATTTGCATGAGCAAACAAGGTCCTGTAAAAATGTGGACGACATTGGACCTTCAAAATATACTCGAACAATGGAGCTATATTCCATGGTATGGCGATATAGTAATTTATCCAGACTTACACTTGGAGTGAAACTCGAAGAATGTGTTGTATACATGATACATCTGAAGGAGATAGCCTCACAAGGAAGCATCCTTAGATAGCCCTGACCTCAATTTGATTTATTAGGTTTATTGAGATCACCATGTACTGATTTAGTCTTGCCTCTGGGGTCATATAGATTCGATGAATTGTCTTCACACTGCAACAGATTAGTCAATACCAGAACTAGATAGAGTAGGCTGTAAGGCATATTAACTGTCTTTATGTTTGGTACTTTGTTACTTTTGCCTTAATATTAGTTAATTTTTGTGCTTCGTGTCAATCAGATGAGTCAAACCATTTTGGTCCTCAATGCTCTTCAACTTCGTACTTTATTTGGCCTTTTTAACTTTTTTGGATTCGAGCGTCACTGATGAGTCTTTTGTAGACGAAACGTGCGTCTGGCGTAAATACAAAATTTAATCCTGGTATCTATGATGAGTTTATTTACAACAGAGTTGTACAGTTTGTTCTTATGATTAACTGTTACACCACTGTCCCAGGTAATGTTAGGGTTTAGCACTCACAAACATTCGAGATATATTATGTAAATATGGTTTTAGTGATATTTGGTTTTCACAGAGAGTTAGAAACAGTCAATTATTTTTGAGTAAATTTAAACAAAGAGTTATAGATAATTATATATCTGAAGGTTTATTGTATTTTGAAAATTCGCCAAAATGTACTTTGTATCAGTATTTACACGATGGCCACACTATGCAATTTTACCTTAGTCGTCCATTAAACAGTTTGTATAGATCTTATATTACTAGGTATAGAGTAAATGCTCATGCACTATGTATAGAAACAGGCAGATACTATAGTATAGCAAAAAATGAACGTTTGTGTAGTATGTGTAATAAAAATGCGATTGAAGATGAGTATCATTTTATTTTAGAATGTGATAAATATAACGACATCAGATGTAAATATGTAGTTATTACTATGAGAGTACATCTACTTTTGAATTAGTGCAACTGTTATCTGTAAGAAATATCAAAGAGCTAAACAACCTGGGAAAATATTTATTTTCTGCAGAAAAAGCACGTAATGGTTAATTATTCAAATGCTTATTTTTAGTTTAATATGTCTATATGTCATACTGCCCTTTGACCACACTTTTAAATATAATTCTTTCATTGATTTGTATAATTTGTGTATAAATGTTATATTATGCTGTATATTATCTATTGGATATTTATATTGTGTAAATCAAATAAGCTGTATTTGCTTACGGAAATAAAGTATTATTAACCCCGCAACATTGTTATATGCACGCCCCATTTCAGAAGCCTATAATTCAGTGGTTGTTATTTGTTGCTGTCTTTTATATTCGTTTAGATTTTTTCCCCGTTAAATTATTTGTCATAAGTTAAGGCTACAGTATTTTATCGATATTCAAATCTCATATATCGATTAATTAGACAAATCCAGGTAACAAACCAAAAAAAAAAGGGACTTGCATAATCTCTAAAAGGAGCGAGACAGTTTACGCCGACAGTGTCTCCAGTGTCATAATTAGCCAGTCTATTTTCACGTTTCAACTGTTTCACATTTTGTTGTGTCTGGGTCTTTTAAAGCTGACTATAAGATATATGTTTTGAAATTGTTGAAGGCCGTCAACGACATACACTTGCTTAAATGCATGTCATTTTGGCTCTTGTGGAAAGTTTTCTCATTAGCAACATCTCCTTATTTAGATATATATATATATATATAAATATTATTTCTGTGACTGCATCTTACGATCCTCTACGACAGATTAGCTATTCTGCAATCAATTCTATCTTCATGCCTTATATATCATGTACTGTGTTACACCACTAGATTCTTCTGACGAGGAAATGTAGCACTAGGCCACCGAAAGCTGAATTTGAGTTCAGTCTAGGTCGCCGAGTGGTCTAGAGCGCTGGACACAGTGCAGGTGGTGTTGTCACGATATCCCAATAGCATGAGTTCGAATCGCGGCGAGGGAAGAACAAACATTTGCTTCCGCCAATTTGGAGATTTAACATTGTTGTGCTGATATTTAAAGTAATTATGAATATGATATGTGTTTTCAGCTGTGTATCACCTTCACTGGTGATCAAATGGATGGATCTGTCGTAGAGTTCTCACTTGTTTAGACGTACTTACATATATTATATATATATATATATACATCCTATCATTGTAATCAACATTAATGGTAATCCTAATAAGTTATGATAAACAAAATTTGCATACAACTATATGTATATCTTTGTCTTTCGCGATTATACAGGTACCAACATTTGTGTTTTCTATGACTACTTCTTTCTTAACAGAGGGACTCGGTGCTTACAACAAAGATATCAAACCGTTAAATGGTCAATTGTTTTTGGAGACTGGCCCCAGTTCAGTGAAAAAAACACTTAAGCTGCATGTGTCTCCAGTGCTTGAATTTGAAGAATATATTTGACGCCTACTTCAAAGATGATCATGCTAGGTTTTTTTTTTGTTTCATATTCTATATAACACGCCTAGGAATCCATCTGTCAATGATGAGTTGTTCCTGGTTGCGATCATCTAGCTATGTCGAAACGACAGTGAATTCAAGCCTAATCAAGATTTATATCCTTGATTTGTAAAGGCATGAAATTCGACACACAGTTTTAAATGAAAAACCGACACCTTTCCTCATTCAACGAATGAAGTACTTCAGGGATACATATATAAATCTGGCTGTATTTGTCCATCATTTGATGAATTGCTGAACACATCCATACCGATTCTTCGAAAGTTTTTTCAACATGGCAGTAGGAAGAGAAAAATGCTTGGAGATTGTGAAAGCAAACTTGCTGGTCCTTTTGACCTTAGTAGGGGCTGCAATTGGATTTATAATAGGTGTGATTGTTCGGAATACAAACCCAACAGACAGTACACTCATGTGGGTTGGTAAGTAAACTAAGTTTTATACTGTATGCTTTATACTAACATAAGCTGTAACAAATACAAGCAAGTTTAGATAAGGGTTATTATTTGATATCAATAAAGCATTCAGAAAAATCTGTTTGTAATAACTGTTCATCTTCTTTATCAAAGTTTTATGGAAAGAATTTTTTTGGTGTTTTCCCCCCATTTAAACCATAAACTTTTGATATACCCCATTAGTATAACATATTCCTATTCAGGACCTGCAATTAAAAGTTCAAGTCTGAATTTTTTACAGGCGATTTTCCAAAGCAAATTAGGGATACTTAAACCAATAGGCATCTTTTTATGTTCAAAACACTTCCTACATCATTGATGACATGTAAATACATTTGCACAGAATCTAATTTATAAAAATCCAAACACACACAACTTCTTTTCATTCTAATTCATTCTTATTGTTTATATGTAATTAATAATTGGTTTTAGAGCCATTAAAAATAAACTATAATAGAAAATACTAAGTCTTGATATATATCCTACTCGTTTGATATATAGATGTAATGTTTTAGTACATTGAATATCACTTATATTTTTTTATAACAAATCATATGTTTACCAATAATTATTTGTATTTCTCCAGGTATTTTAGGGGAGGTTTACCTAAACATGGTGAAAATGATGATTGTTCCTCTGATAGTAGCTTCAGTTATAACAGGTAATAACCTAAAGGTCTTTAATGTGAGTACGTGATTTTGAGGTGTGACTCTTCAATTCAAGAAACCGTTGAATACATTTTTTAAATTACAAAATTTTATAAGGAAAAAAAGACCGGACACGTTTTCACGTTTCAAATACAACGAGTCATAAATTGTGACATAATTATTAGATGTACATGCAAAGTAATACAAATCAGACACTATTAAGGGTTTCGTTGGGTTTTTTTTTCTCCTTTCGCTTTTATGTTGCTTATCCTTCATAAAATTATGATCAGTTGATGACATTTTTACTATAATATAAGAAAATACTTTGCAAATCCTTAATAAATGATTTAGAACAATTTCATGAAATTATTTTCCAAATATAAAATGTTCAAAATATAAATTTCCTACGTCTTTCACAGAAATTGTAAGTATGTATAAAATGTATTACAAAAATACCGAACTTCAAGGTAAATTCAAGAAGTGGTTGTCCATCAATTTGAGAAAACCAAAGTTGTACGTTGTCAACCAACGATTGTAAAACAACTGTCATATTCCTGACTTGATACAAACATTTTTAGAAGAAAATAGTGGATTAACCTGGTTTTATAGCTATCTTAACCTTCCACTTGCATACCCGCTGTTAATTTTTCCGTTAAATTGACAAAAATGGGTGAGCAACCCAAACAGACATATAGGAATACAAAAAGGGAAGTATGCCTCAGTGAGACAATCACTTCACGACAAAACAGAGGTTGTGGTCATCTGCATAGGTATGAAACTTTACCTTCTGACATAAACCTGATAAAATACCTTATTACTGCTTATTGTACGGAGAAAGCATTTTATTTGCATTTCTTTGTGATACTGTTGTTTAATTTTCACAACTGCAACAATCTTTGATAAATGATTACACTTGTGTCTAGAACAATATTATTCGTTGGACATTCCATTACAATATTTTTCTTTGATGAAATGCGTGTAATTTTTCTAAACAGGAACAGCTACCCTAGACCCTAAATCAAACGGGAAAATAAGTTTAGTTTGTCTTGGTTATATAATGTCTATGAATTTCCTTGGATGCTTAGTTGGTAGTGTACTTTGCGTTATCGTCCGACCAGGTGAGATACTTATATCTGTAGAATTACACATACTTCCATATTTTTAAACATAAATAAAACAATTAATTAGCTAAATATATGTGTTTATACAATATGCAAAATTAAAAATGCTTTACAAATAAATTGTATTAGTTGATTTGAGTTCAATAACTGCTGCACTTTAAGTCGTAAACGAAAAAAGCACCGAACAGGCAGCAATATGTAGAGTGCAGTATAGTTTAAAAGGCGTCGTGGTACCTAACCTTACACTGTTGCTATAATGTTTTAATATGGATTATAGCTGCAGACCTATTTTAAACTATGCTATTCTTTTCATCACAAAATAAAAACCTTTCAAGAGACAGTTATTAGTGTTGTCAGGATATTCAACGTTTGGAAAACGTTTGCGGTTTGATTTGGGTTAACATTGTCAAACGACAATGCCGATATTCAAATGATAATAAGATCTGGGTTATTTTTTTAAATGAAATGAATCCAATAAAAAATTGTAAAACTGTATTTGATTGATTGATTGACTGTTGGTGTTTAACACCACTTTCAGCATACACTTAGCGCAGGGTTCTTAATGGTGAAGGATCCGGATTTTGGGGGGAGAACCAGCGACCTTAGGCAAGAAAACTGGCAATCCAAGTCTATTAAGATTCAAACGCATCTTCCATGGGCGGGCTTTGAACTCCCGACCTCAGTGTTGACAAGCTAGTGTTTGCTGTAAAATTTTCTACTTATACCACTCGGTAACCGAAGACCACCATACTGTATTTGATAATCACTTCTCAAAAATAACGGTGCAATGCTGCATTGAAACTGAGACATAAATGAAATGAAAATCGGGATATAATTTTACTACTTAAAAGGCATAAGTATAGAAAAATTAAAGGAAGTTCTAATAATAATATTTTTTGATTGAATGATGAATACGTCTCTCATTATGATACACATTCAACAGAAAATAAATGTTTATGATAATTTGATATTTACTTATAAGGAGGTATGTTATTTCTTCTAACTGATTCAAACTTACAAGGGAAATGATAATTCATACTTAATTACAAGGAAGCAGGATATTTCGACTATTTAGAAGGTGATTTGATTAAAGTGTCTATAATCTTTCTGAAAGATCATTATTAGAGTATCATATGTTATAAAACAAGGCACATCGCTGAAAACGAATTAGTGGTAATGTCACATCTTCAGATACATATTATAATGTCGTAACAACAATACCGTCCTCTTTCCTCGACATAGACATCTAGGAATTAGACTTATCACCGAAATTTGCACATAAACCAAGAGTTCCAAGTGGTGAAGTTGAAATCATTCATTACAAACGCCATCACGAGTAGGGTGTTGTTTTGTTGTTTAATTTTTTGCAATGCCATCGTCAATTTGTCTTCGACTTATAAGTTTGAATATCCCCTTGGTATCTTCCAACTTTCTTTTTATGTTTATGTTATTTTATCAATAGCCTTTTTATTGATTAATGCGACCATCAAAGATGGGTCTGATTACTTTCAAAGTGATTGATTAAATTACAATTACTTTGTCAATTGTACGATTAAATCAAATTAATGATAACACCATTTATCAAAGTACCTAAATAAATAAGTATTACATCGGCAGGTAATCATGATAACATCTGAATGCAATGAACTTTAAACGTTTGAATGATATTAATTAATAAAAGTTAAAACATCATTGAAATAACATTGTGTTGGTTTCATATTACTTGTATATCCATATTTCATAATATCTGAACATGCATAAAGAAACCAAAACTATTTCAACAAGCTATATATTCATTAAATATGAATAATAAAAATGCTCATTTAAGACATGACATATATTGACAATAAACATAATTTGAGATTTTTTTTATTTAAATCAAATGTAATCAAAACGTAATCAGGATTACACAGTATTTAGTAAGTAATTGATTAAATTAAATTACATGTAATCAGATTTTTGGCTGATCAATGATTTCAATGATTACTTGTAAATATTGTAATCGATTACAGCTGATTAATTATTACAATTACAATTGACCCAAACCTGGTGCCCATCATATTATTATCATGCTTATGCTTTTGTTGCAAATACTATCACAAAAGAGGAAAATCTTGTCGAAAGAGTTTTTAATGATATTGATATCTCAATCCGTTATCCTGATAAACAGCATAAGTAAAGTAACTAGTTACATGTAGTATCCTGTCTTGGTTATTTCATAAATTAATGCAAAGACCGTGAATTTGTTAGAAGCAATGTCGTTATAGAGAAGTTTTTTCTATGGATTGGGCAATGTATTTTTCTGCAAGTTGATTAGATTTATAGTTGTAGCCTTTGAAAAGATCAGAAGATATCAATTAAGGTGACTTTAAAAGTCACAAGTTCATTCTTTCATTTGACGATGCTTTGTTAGTACCTCTGTCATGGCCAGTCTTGTTCATTACAATAAAACAAAAACAAATTGTATAAATTCTGCATGTTTACAGCTATTAGCTGCTTTAGAATTTATATGTCTTAATTAGAAAGCATCTGCATGTTTTAACATGAAAAATATAATCAAATGAATATTATTGAATCGACTGTAAGCCCGATGAAAGCCTATTCTTGCTAATAATTTTTTATTTGTCTCAGAATACTATCGATTAATGCATTTTCTCCGAATCGAAATTAAGAAGACCAGTCTAGAAAAGTGTGTTGTGTTTCTGATTTCAGGTGAAATTTCTAAAACAGAAGTGAAAGCTTTTAACTCGGTTCCTTTAGAAACAGAGGACATTTTTGCTGATTTACTGAGGTAAATTAAGGGTGAAATAAGCTGTAAACACACACACACACACACCATCACACGCACATATCGAACTGCAATAATAAGCAGCGTTTTTATGTAATTCTTTTAAAAACATTGTGGTGTTTTTATCATTGTTATTTTGCCTCTATAGATATATATTAAAATTATTAATTTGCCTATCATCAAACATTACTGTGGACATAGCTAACTATATATATCTTTAAAATTGAAGAAATGAATTCTTACACAATTCAGTTCAATTATATAGTTTCTTTGTATGTATCGAGGACTGAGTCCGTTGATCTACATTTGCTTTCCAGGTCTTCGATCATTTAGCTGTGATTCCAGGTCATCGGTCAATTTTTTACATTTTTACCTATAACGTCTGTTTGTTTTGCTCACACATTGTTGTCAATATAATGGAATTTTATGCGACTGTCATACAAGTGAGAGGTTTAGCTAGCTATAAAACCAGGTTTAATCCACCATTTTCTACATAAGGAAATGCCTGTACCAAGACGCGCGATTTGTCTACAAAAGACTCATCATTGACGCTCGAATCAAAAATGTTTAAAAGGCCAAACAGAAGGTATTGTGTCAAATATATATTACGTAACAGTCCGTTAAGGACAATTCTCATATATTTTAATCCTGGTATCTATGATGAGTTAACATATTCCTCGATTTTTTAACAATAGATCGTGTTGTCATTTTTATATTCTTTTTATAGAAACATTTTTCCTGGCAATTTGATAGCTGCGACATTTCGCAAGGTAAGTTAGCAATGCAGATATGGAATCATAAATTAAACTTTTAATCATATTTATGACAGCACGTTGAACCTTAAAGCTTCATGTTCAAGGTGACAAATTTATAATTCTTACAATATAAGTGCATATTTACTCTAATCATATTTGAGACAAATTTTTACATAAAAAGCATGTTAATTTTTTTTAGATTATTGTCCTAAAAAATCGGTTTTGAAAACCGAATTTAAGTATTAAAGTGACCATATTGTATTCGTTATTCATGTTATATTTATCTGCATCTAATATAATCAGGCAATAAAATTGCGGAAAGATAAAATTGAGAATGGAAATGGGGAATGTGTCAAAGAGACAACAATCCGACCAAGGCCGCCAATGGGTCTTCAACACAGCGAGAAAATCCTACACCCGGAGGCGGGCTTCAGCTGACCTCTAAACAAAAATGTGTACTAGTTCAAAGAAAAAAGACGTCACACTAAACTCCGGAACATATAAATGAACTAATATTAAAAAAGATACAGGACTAACAAAGGCTCCTGACTTGGAACAGGCGCAAAAATGCGGCAGGGTTAAACATGTTTTGTGAGATCTCAACCCTCCCCCTTTACCTCTGGCCAATGTAGAATAAACAGACAGACTGCAATACGCACAGTAAAACTCAGTTAAAAAGAAGTCCGAGTCCGATGCCAGAATAGGAAACAGAATCAAATTGACAATAAAACAAAAATTAACAAGGGACTATTAGCAGTTACTGACATGCCAGCTGAAGACCTCAATGAAACTGATTAAAAGATTATGTCCTCAGTATTTCTTGTTCGATAACATTATTGTAGACATTTTTAAGATGCCCATTTAATTCCAAAGTAAGAGGGGTGTAGGGAAAAATTACACAATATTATTAAGCATCAAATTATCTCCGAACATCAGAGGATTTGGTTGTCATTAGAAACAGCTAGAATCCTTTTCTTTATATTTTATGGTCAAACAGCAGTGTCACAAATTTGTTGAAGATTTTAATGCATGTCAAAAGTACAGGTCCTTAAATAGGTTAATTAACAACCATTTATACTATGTGGGAATCCAAGATTCACTGCTTAGCTATATTCTATAACTTTTTTGTATTTTGCTAAGTCTTTTTCATTCTTTTATCGTAATTGAAGGCTGATGTATCTGTATCTTTTATATTGTATAGGTTATCATATTATTTTCATTATACCTCCGTCGAAATACTGGAGCTTTATAATAATAATAATAATAGCCTTAATATAGTTCGTGTTGTAGTTTGCTAGTTCACGAGGATAATACAACCCCTGTAATTGAGTTTCAATGGATGACTGTTAGTCCAAGAAGGAAATATCAACCCAATAGCTCAATACATCGGGTACTGATGTGAAAAAAGCATATATCGATTGTTATCAAATTTGCAGTAAAAAACTTAGGATATCATTTGAAATCAAAGAATGTATCTCCCTAATGTATCTCTGATTTATTGTCCGGCTTTCGCTTTAGTTTTGTTACTCTTCTTGTATATCAGTTCTTCAAGGTTTCATCATGATTTGAATGTACAAATGTTTGGGCATTGATCATATATAGCTGAAGAGACATTATTTGTCTGGTTTAGTAAAATTGCTACCCGAAACATCATATTGAGAAGGACAAAAGTATATATCTTACAACTTTGTTTTGTTTTCTTGGTTGATTTTCAGACAATGACGAGCTATGATACAGAAAAATACCGGGCAAATGAAACTATAAATGGGACAACCGTAGAAGTAATAAAAACTATGGTGACTGGAAAAAATCTGTCGACTGCTAATAGCACAAACATTCTAGGTAAAGATGTTGAGCTTAGTAACTGAAATTATTTCTATCATAAAACACATAGAGGATGTGTAAACCTTACTGGATAAGGAAAGTTCTATGTCAACAGGAAACTATTAGTAAAGTATGAGTCGAGGTATTCTACAAATATAGAATTTAATTTCTATTACGGTGGATGGTGATATATATACTTAATTCATCCATTTTTGCATCATCTTTTTGTATTCAGTACCTGTAACAAAGAGAACAACAACCATCGAAGTAAAGCATTTACAGTTTTTACCAAATTGAATATGGATCTGAGTTATGTCACTTTGTCATTTAATATCACTTTAAACAACTAAAATTGACTAAAATGGAAAATCGCACAATTTTAAAATTTCGTTTTCACAACCCATTTCATCACACCAAGCACTCTCATAAAATTGAGACAGTTATTTCACCATTATAATCTATTCGTATGTAACACTTTGAATTAACGTCGATCCAAAAGTCTTGTAAAAATATCACGCAGCTTAATTTATGTTCTTAAAATATTATAAATTACTACTTTTATTCAATGACAGGTATTTTAATTGCCTGTGCTGTGTTCGGCATTGCCACTGCCTCAGCAAAAGAAATTGGACAACCTTTCTTCAAATTCTTCTTCTCAGCTACTGAAATTATCTTGGTGATTTTAGGAAAGCTAGTTTGGTAAGAAAAAAATATTTGTGTATGTAATTTTTTGTGTTTTAACAAAGTGCTGGTTTCTTTTGTCTAGTAGTTGGTTTAAGGGAAAACATAAGAACACTCACCAGGAGTCACTTATAATGGTGATCTTATACACAAATACTTTCCATTTGATGCTTTGTTCAAAATTATTCACATTTAAGTAACATGCAAGAAGTTATGCAGCAATGCATTGCGTGTGCCATTAAATCAATATGTCTTACATGCAAGGAGCATGTCCGGGTAAGTAAATGGGGTAAGCGACTTCTGCTATTCACACATTACCCGCCATTTGAATCCAGCCTCGTTCTAAATTTCAATGATTGGAATTTGATACAATCGGCAGATTTACAGATCAGACGACTTTCTTTGTTTCTTCAGATTTTAGACGGTTGATACATATCACTCGTCAGTTCATTCACGGACACTTCGTGTCGGTCAATCAATTCGAGATGGTGACCATAAACTTGTTTACTATTGATTTCAGTCGTTCGTCCTCATAACCCTGCTAGAGCAGAGTTTGTGTTGTAGGCACATCAAATTCCTTTTTTTTTTTTGTCATATAGCTCTTCAATTTGTCCGATTCTTATACATCCTTTGCTTTTAATATTCGGCTGTGAGCATACATGAAGAAGGTGAATCCTGAAAAGCCCTTCGGACGCATGAAATTTACAAAGTGTTGTTTTCATTTTATTTTTAAAAGAAAATTGAAAAACAAGAATATGTGAACATATGACGCCATTCCTAGCTCGTACTATTCATGTCCAAGTTATTTGAACCGTTTTATTGGGGTCAAAGTTGTAATTTTTCATATAATTTCAAACTTTTTTTTCAGGTTTACCCCATTTGGCGTAGCAAGTTTGATTGGTAAAACGATTGGAGGAACAAAGAACTTGGAGGATGATTTCAGTAGACTTGGTTTATACATAGCGACACAAATGATTGGTTATTTACTCATCGTGATGGCAGCAGTACCAATTACGTATTTCACTCTGATGAAAACGAATCCGTTTAGATTTCTTTTCACATTGGTTAATGCTTTTGTTATTGTTTTTGCTACTTCTAGCACGTAAGTAATGCAAACAGTTAATACGTGTAAATAACAATAAATATGCTGGTATTATTGATCAATAACTTAATTTACTGAGATACACATAGAGAGTTATGGAATCAAAAGTTTTACTTTAAAATTACAGCTACATGTTTGAAGCAATTGACAAAAAAATCATTCAACATAGCACGCATGAAGTGTTGATGTTACGAACAACATAAATGAAAGCAATAACATAAACATGCCATACGAATACAAAAAAATAGAATTTAACAAGACATACCATAATCACGTTAAAATTATAAAATTTGGTTTCATAGATTTATTTAACAACTCATTAGGTCGAGCTGACATATTGCGTCGGGAATTCGATCTCAAATATTTAGCAAAATATGTGTATCGTATATTAACATCTTATAAAATTTTTTAAGATAATGGATCATGAAAATTTCAAAAAAGGCCAAAATTATCTGTGTATCTGAAAAGGTATTACATAGGCAATTGCACCACTCATGAAATTCGATCGAAATATTGGATCAAGAAACAGGAGTCGGTTTCACAAAAAAAATTACGACTATGATTGATCGTAAGTCATGAAGAATTCAGTATACTTACGATCAATCTTAGTCGTAAGATTTTTTTGTGAAACCGACTCAAAAGCTTTATATACATATAGTGCAAAAAACATTACAGACTAAATTCATCACTATATTTTCAATGATCTGTAATTTGACAATATTTGATTGGAATAATCATTATGTGTACCGTAGTATTTTGTTTTATCATATACCAATAACAAAAGTGCAAGCAAAGCATATTTAATTCGTATTTGAATTAAAAAAACCAACAATGAAAACATGGTATTGTTACAATAGCCATTTCATATGAACTTCGTGAGAAATACTATTGCGTGGTCAGAAATATAAATGATACATACAATGGTGATCTTGACCATTTATCGAAATAGAGCCATGGCTATTCCTGAGAGCATACGGCAATTAGAAGGACCAAACCAAGTGGACCGTAGAGTGACTCGGTTTGGTATACCATTATGTGCAGCTATTGGACGTTGTGGGAGCTGTATTTACATAAGTATATCATGTCTGTTTGTCATGCAAATCACTGATCAAGATGTGGACGCTGCTTCAGTTATTTTAGTCATGTAAGTGATCACCATTCAAATATGCTACAATAGTACAAATTATATTATAAGGCGGAATAGGCGAGAACAAGTCTACTTATCAACCCTTTAATGAACTTATTCCTAAAAGATAGCTCTTTGACGCCGTAGTAAGATCTTTAAACATTGTTTTGTTGGTACCTACATTGCTTTTCTATTTGATAAATTAAAACATAACTAAATTGCCATATATTTATTAAAACTGAACATGGTCCTTCATCGATTCCTCTAGAAATCAGGTATTTCTATTTTGATATTGCATAAGTTCATGCTTTTCTTAGACTGTTGACGACGTCTAAACACTTAATCCGTTGAATGTGTACTGGTTGATTTTCTGGGAGAACATGATTTATTTGTTAGTTGGTATTAGTTTTTGAACTAGCTTTCCGTAACTGCGAGTACTTTTAGATAAACATTTTGTGTCTTTTATCTTTATATTAGTTGATTTTGTGCTTCATGCCAATCTGAGGACTCAAGCCATTTCCTACTAACCTTTTTTTTTTATGTAGTGTTGTTACATTAATGTCTCAATTTCAGGAGGAGGGTTTATCGCTCACAAAAATATCTAATTCTGACACATTCTATATGTGCCTGTCCTTAATCAGAAACCTGTAATTTAGTGGATATTTTTTAGGACTCTGTTGATATTGTCTGAGTGGCAATAATACCCCATCTCAAGTCCGTTCATCCGTCATTCCTTTCTGTGGAAAAAATAGAACCTATTTTGTGTCATCCATAAGCAGTCGTCTGATATCCCTTAAACATTATACAGAGGTTGCACGTAAATAAAAGTGTTCATACTCTAAACAAATTTGAATTTATTTTCTCTGGTTTCTGTGTTTGTCTTTTTACAATTGAATATATATGTATAGGTGTTTATTGTGTACTATCTGCTGTTTCAACGGATGACCTTCAAATGAAATAACGCATTTAATTTTCGAACGTCCAATGAAGTTTTTCTTGATTAACCATTCTTTAAACTTTTGTCAGTTAGTGATATAACGGTTACCTTTTTGTGTCATTTGTACCTCCAACATGTTTTTTACGAAAAGTTTTATTGAATTTTACATTTAGGGGTTACATATACCCATTTTAACTTTTATAAAGAAAGAGGTATAATAAGTCATTATTTGGCCAATGAAATTGCAAAACTAGTTTTTCAAAATTATATTCCAGTGATTAATGAACAATTTGATATCATCCCGTCACCATAGTGCAGTCGATTGTGATGTCATATTATAAACTTTTTGACACTGATATATCTGACTTGAAATTGCCATTTAACACATAAAAGATATGAACAAAAGACCATAAAATCTCGCTAAAATTAGTGATATTCAGTGCTACAAAGATAAAGTTATTTCTTAGATTGATAAAACATCATTCAAAGCGTGTCTCTGGATTCTGAATATCAGCATCACAACTAGTCATCTACCAACAAAAACATAAAGAAAGCTTGCACAACATTTATACACAACATACGGACATACGGATGCCACGTGTAGCGCAGGATCAGCTTCCCTTTCAAAACACCAATCGTTATGGCGTTGAATGTTATTCTTCTTTTAAAACGTCTAAAGGTCTCAAACGTGGGATAATTTATGGTTTTGGTCTTGTTGTAAATATTTTGTGTTATTTCCAAATAGATTTTTGTCTTCTTCTTGTTTATAAAAAGCATTACATTTAAAACAATCTAATATTTCATATGTGCTGCGAAAAGGTTTTTCTACATTCAATTCATTGAGTGGCAAAACAATTTTGAATTTTGTTGAATAACTTTTTCAGCATTTTGACAGCATTTTCGTCCTTGGCCGTACCCTCTGTAGCTGGAGCAAGCTTAATTACTGTGATCATCTTGCTCACAGCACTAAATATCCCACCGGAAGCGGCATCTCTTCTGTTCTCTTTCGAATGGCTTCTGTAAGTATAACATACGATTCAATCTTACTTCTGTCTTATTAACAGATTATTTATATAAAAGCCAAAAACAGTTTCCAATGTTCGTATCTCGTAATTATATTTTGATCATAAAAAAACAAAGTGAAACTCCGGGAAACGCGTGATCTCAAATCAGACGGAGCAAAGGTGTGTCAAAAAAGTAAACGTCTCTTACTATTCACGATATGTCGCCACGAAATACCAGAAACATCAAAATATCAGGAGAGTGAATAAGACAAATTGGATACATTTACAAATTAGAATTATTATTTCTTAAACCGCTACAACAAGGAGTCACTCTTATTAATAGACATATTTACATAGTTAAATGTTGAATAGTTTATTTAAAAAAAAAAAACGTCTTAGGTCTTCCTTTACGAATTTAGATACGTATGGACAATAGGATGGTTGTTAAATTTGCGTCATAAAAATTACAAGCAACATTAAATTATGTTATCATTACTTTCAACTATTGTTAACATCGGGATAGCTGTCCCAAAATGTCTTTTGTTTAATTGAGAGGCAGACACATCGTATCGGTCAACTAATTTGCGATGACTGTTAAACTTGTGGATAACAATTTATTTTCCAATATTTCCACCAGCCCGGTTGCTTAACAGCATGCAAAATATTAGAACAATAATCGGTATACTGGATTTTTTATGTCGCCAAGGATATAAAGGTGCCAATTGAATGTTATGAAGAACACAGATACTCTGAATAATATAGTTTTCTCTAAACTCATTTTGAGTTCATCATGTCAGACACATTCATTTATATTCAGCCGTAAATTAAGAACATTTTCGGATATAAGAAACCAACAGCTCCCAAAATTGTTTTATTTCTAAGTGTTAACGAAAAAACTGTAAAATCTGATATCTATTTTCAAATTAACTCGACCATCAAATGTTGTTAGACGTAGAACTTTACTAGGATATGAATTGTACTGTCTCAAATGCTGCGTAGGGTACTGAATGTATTTGTTGTGTATAGATCTTCGTCGGTGAAACACAACAGAAAATCAGAAAGGAATTAAGAAACTGTAAGTTCTTGGGTTTTGTAATCTTTATAATCTTCCAAAGAAGCCTGAGGTTATTCACCCATTTGTTTTCTTTAATATCGGACGGTATAGTATTTAGGACAAATATTAAGCAATACATATGTCTTGTACTTTTTTAGACATCGTACAACACTTTCGTATTTTCTTTCCAGAGACAGGATGAGGTCATGTACAAACTACAGCGTACAATCAACCTGTGTAGTGATTACACAGAAGCTGTGTATGTCTTCGTTAATGGCCGAAAAGAAAGATGAGGAAGACATTCATGAAATAAATGAAAACGGCAATGTAATACAATTAGCTCAAGTGGTCGATGACGAAAAACACTTACAAGAGTAAACGTTTAACCAATCAATGCCTTTATAATTATTTGCTTTATGTACCTTATTAGCCAAACGCTCATTTGCATCTAGTAGTTCTTCATTGAAATAGGTTTCTTCTGATCAGTATGCCAAGTCTATCATTATCAATAACAATGTTATGTACTCATCATATTTGGAAAAGACCTCCATTGTATATTTCTTTAATAATTATTGTTAAAAATATGATGCTAATTCAAGCTTACGTTCAAAATACACACCTTTGCATAGTAATTAATTAAATGCACTGCACATAAATGTATGTTGTATATAAAATGTATTGTTATGTATGTATTTACTGTAACTTTATTTTCTTTAACTTTCAAATAATTATGCAAACATGAAAAAATAAAATATGTTAATCAATAAGGTTGATATAACTGAAGTTAACAATATGTCTCTACATTCCAAGACCTATGAACCTAAACATCAATGATTCAGACGTAAAGAAATGGTCCAAGTCTCTTCCACAAAAAGCAGTATCACCTTTAAAGCGCGTCACGTCGGATACGCGTATCCTATCGACGCACCAAGTTTCGATCCATTTGGAGTTACATTGATTCTGTTAGTTTTTGTTTGTTACCTTGATTTTTCTTTTTAATCGATCTATGAAAGTTATACTTCGGTAAACTATTGTTGCCTAATATCCTTGGCTTTTAAATGATAAGGCTTAAGCGTTCCTAGTGAAGATAATCCAGAAAATTTTGTGTTAATTCCACTGCTGTTGAAATCTTTGTCCCCGAGGGTATCGTCAGCTCTGTAGTCGGTGCTTCGGTACTGACATGATCTGTAACATACTTTTCCTACATTGTCCGTTGATAAATTGAAAAATTATAATCAAAATTTCGACTCTTTAAAATTAAAGAGTCTATCCCAAATTGAGGTAAATTATATGGCCTTCCAAATACCGTTTCGATTCCTAACATCACTGAAGAGACATTTATTGTCGAAATCCGGATATGGTGTACAAATTTTTGCACCTCGTGTTTGTGGCATACCATCTTTTCCACAAGTTTATTGTTTTCTGTTTGGCATTAAATTAATATTAAGATCCATTTTGTTAGATCTGGTGATCAATTTATTTGGCAATCGCCAATGGCAGTCAGCAGGGTTTAAGAACATCAGTTGTTCGACCTGTTAGTCAAATGCGTTTTGTAAAAAATAGACTTTTTCACTTTTTTTGGTCTTTTGGAAATTGTTGTTTGTGCTGTATTTAGACCCCTCTACCGAGAAATTTGTTTTACATGCACACGTATAAAAATTGCGGTTTTTATCCAACGCAATCATAGGTTTGAACGTTGTTTTCAATTTAGACTTTTATATATATAACCAAGCAGAACACTTGTTTGTTTGTACTATCAGGCAGATGATTTGAGTCTTAAATAAACATTTGTTAAAGGTTTGAATATTTAACGCGATTAAATGCTTGACTGATGAGGCAATAGTTAACCATAGATGTCTTTAGTAAACCTAAATCAAATATATTTTGAAGTTTTATTTTTTAAAGACTATTTAATAGATGCACATATCCTCAATGACCTTTACACGTTTCTTCATCCTCGTCAGATCCATCATTGCAACGGGGATAGTGATTGCATATGCCTGATTTAGAAATACACTGTATGTTATCCCTGCATTTTACTTGATGATCTGGACACATATAATCTATAATTTAAAGAGAATAAACATAGATTAAATGTATAAACATTTCCAGAATAGCTTCGACGTATCAATATCGTTAATGAAACGGTTAAATTTCATTCAACCACCATTTCTTAACAAGTCAAAATCTGTATGAAATAACTTTTCTCCATCTTTTTACGGTGGAACTATTTTATTGATTTTTAAACGAAACGCCATGGAATGTGCAAGTGGTCATTTTTTGATAAAAAATCAGAATACAGGTGATTTGTCAAATCTATCAAGACATTGTGAATACCAAGAACAAAGGTAACCCGTATATGTACACTGGATACCATCGTTGCATTTGATCCTGTCTTTATCAAATTCGAGATCTTAACAATAATAAGAAAAAATGTTGCTGCGTCTATCATGTCTTTACTTTTCTACTGATGACAAAATGATTAAAAACACACTGTTTTCTGTTGTTATTTAAAGGACATTACCTGTTTTATATCGGTGCTTTCAATCGACAATTGTACAGCTCTGATTGAGTAACATATTATGTAGCAGTGATAAGTGGTGGGGTACAAAATCATACAAGACAAACGACAAACCCAAACTAAAGTGAACAGACCCCGACACTAATGAATTGAAACATTAATCCTTGAATAAATTGTATAATATCATATTACAACTGTTGACGTCGGAGTATATGATATTCTGGCAGGTTGACAAGTCTGTGGTTGGACAATTAGTAAATGCAGTTTACAGCGGAACTGAACAGTTTTCGTTTCTCAATACCAATCGAATCAAAGAAATGTGTTAATATGTGTCAATATAACCTATCAATTATGATAGAATACTTGCGTAAACTTAATCTTGTTTTGATATATCAACCTCTCTAGACCTAAAGGAATAAGTTGTTGAAATATATATGTCTTTGTGTTACTTTAATTACACAGAGGACTATTTATGTAGATTTCTATGTTGATATTTGTTTATGTACGATTGATATTTCATTGTTTTGATTTTCGTTGATTGGTATAAAAATAAAGAGATGTGGTATGTTTGCCAATGAGACAACTATCCACCAAAGTTAAAATGAAGTGGAAGTAAGCAATTATAGGCAACCATACGGCCTTCAACAAGGAGAAAAACCCGTAACGTATAGTTGGCTATAAAAGGCCTCGACATAATAAATATAAAACAATACAATTGAGAAAACTAACAGCTTAATTAATATCAAAACACTTTACGGAAAACAAGTATGACAGACAAAATCGAACGACAACCACTGAACTATAGGCTTCTGACTTTGGACTGGCACTTAAAGAATAAGGCGGGGTAAAACATGTTTGTGAGCTCTCAACCCTCCTCTAACCTGGGACAGTGATGTACATAAAAATGAGTGATTTCTTCGATAAAATGACTAATTCCCCGATTGACCCTAGCTCAATGTGCTGCAAAATTTAACTTTTAAAATATAAATTGCTCCCTTAATTTAATTGTATTCTTACCATTACAGACTTCAGATGATTCATCAGATCCATCATTACAATCCGGCCACCCAGAACATAGATTATTTTTATGTATGCACTGGATACCATCCTGGCATTTGACTTTATCTTCACCACAGACGAAATCTTAATATTAATCAGAAAATAAATCCCTCATCTATACTTTTCAACTGATAATCAAATGAAAAAAAACAAGTTTGTGAGCACTGTGTTCTATATCTTTATTATATCGGTGCTACTAGTCGACAATTTTGTAGCCCTCATTTGAATACATATAAAAATTTCATATATCCAAGAATAATGCTCATACTGCATGAAACACTTTACATAGTAACGTAGCAGGAATAAGTGGCTTTTAACATATTAAATAATGTAAAAGAAGAGATGTTGTGTATCTGTGTATCTTATTATTAATTTTTCACAACTAACAAAACATAAAGTGAATACACGACGACAGTGAGAAATTGAAATAATATCACATTTCCTTCAATGTATGGTATGAACAAACGACATTGAATGCTTTGTTCTTGTAATGAAATAATAGAGGCGTAAAACACTAAATATGACATTAAAAAAAAGTACAAAATGAAATGACAAAGTAAATGACAAAAACAAAAACAGCGTTAAACGACAAAAAGACTAAAGAACATTATACAAATAACAACATAAGAAAACTAAAGACTGATCAGTTCGTACTCTTCCAAACACTAGAGGTGATCTCGAGTGTTATGGAAGGGTAGGCAGATTCTGCTTCCCATATGGCACGGGTCGTGTTGATCTTGTTAAAACAAACCCAGCGATTAGTCTTATTCGTAAGGTTACATTGAATGGAATTGTATTCACTTATCTCGTTAACTTAATGTCGATAATGTGGTAGTTGTATCAGTATATTGTTATTCTTATTAGATTTTCAGTATATTTGGAATTTGAATATCATCTACTAGTCAAAATACGAGGCTTGTTGTCAAACAAGCGCAATTTACGAGACTCGAAACTGTGTATGTTTTCAAGTGACTAACTTTTTATAATATCAATATAATGACAATCTTGAAATTTACTTTTCGGAATATATTTGTATGATTTCCTCATGAAAAATAAATTTAACTTTTGATTATACAAACAAATCGTAGGTGGAGGACATTATAATGTTGGTTAAGATTTATCAACGTTCTTTGGAATATTAAGAGGTCAATGTACAATTCGGTTCAGAGTTATTAAAACCGGGTTAAGAATATTTGACGTCGTTATCCTTTAAACACAAGTATTATGAAGAGCTGATCTCAGAAAGATGGGGACATAGAAGTAAGATAACAAAGATTAGAAATCCAAGAAGCAGATTGATAACATATGATTCCGTGAAATACACAGAACAACCATAAAAAAAAGATTATGTAAAATAATATAAAATCATGCTTGCAACGATTCTCGAATGTGATTATACACACCTGCACATGTCTCTTTACTTTCGTCGGAATCATCATTACAACTGATATATCCATTACAGAGGATATAAGTGCTAATACACTGTAAACCATCTGCACATTTTACATGATCAGGTGGGCACTGAAAATCTTTAAAAAAATATTTGATTTGTATTATATGAAAAGGAAGATGTTATTTAATGCCAATTAGACAACAATCCACCAAAGACCAAATGACATATATGTTTACAATAATGGGTCACCGTACGGCCTTATACAATAAGCGAAACCAATACTGCATAGTCGGCTATAAAAAAAAAAATAGTCGGCTATAAAAAAAAAAAGAAAATGTGATATACAACAACAAATGACAACCATTGAATTACAGGCTCCTAACTGAATTCTGGTGCGCAGTTTTTGGTTTTCTATGTTGTGTTGTGTTCTGTTGTTTGTCTGTTTGTCTTTTCTTTATTTTTTATCCATGGCGCTGTCAATATAAAAAAGAAGATGTGGTATGATTGCCAATGAGACAACTCTTCACAAGAGACCACATTACACAGAAATTAACAACTATAGGTTACCGTATGACCTTCAATAATGAGCAAAGCCGATACCGTATAATCAGCTACAAAAGACCCAGAAATGACGAACGTTAAACAATTCAAACGAGAAAACTAACGGCCTAATTCATGTACAAAATAAAGAACGAAAAACACATATGTAACACAGTAACAAACGACAACCACTGAATTGCAGGCTCCTGACATAGGACAGGCACATACAGAATGTGGCGGGGTCAAACATGTAAGCGGGCGCCCAACCCTTGCCTAACCTGCGACAGTGGTGCAACAATACAACATAAGAAAAAACTATAAAAAAAAATCATTTGAAAGATTAAGTCATCAGATGAACACAAATAGAAATACATCTTACAAAAACACAGAGTGGACATGGCCGGGTACTTGTATATCCCAACAACAAAAAGACACTCAGTACAGATCTGAGAGTACTCGCAGTTACTGACAGCTAGTTTAAAGCCAATAACAACAAATAAACACAATCATGCATCTAAGACTAAATAATCAATCAGTGTACATCTTACATCCAATGGATTTAGTGTTAAGCCATCACAGACAGTCAGAGAGAAAAAAAAACCATGACCCAGTGTATTTTCGACTTATGAGTTTGAATGGTCCTTTGGTATCCTTCGCCCCTTTTTAGGTACAGATATGAAAGTACTCGTCGTTACTGACAGCTAGTTTAAAGCCTAAAACAACTTAAAAAGAATGTATCTAAGACTATTGAATTTGTTATGACAATAATAAAGGGAAACTCTTTCGCTGACTTTGATATTTGTGTTACATGTTACAAGTTATTCTAATCAAATTTCGCTACGATGTAATTTTCTATCATTGTGTTTGAAATCAACCACGATATAGTTTTATTCATGAAATAAGACCATTTCTTGTTACGCACAGATAACCAAAAAATGAAGTTATGAATTGACCATATGCAAAGTATATGAACAATTTGTCATTACTATATTTTTTCAATCGTGAAACGTTGTAGAAGGAAGAACACTTAAGGATTTCTTAATCATAACTAAGTTATGTCTTCAAATATTTAAATATCAAAATTGAATCCCATCAATTTAGCCAGTTGAAACAGAAAAGTGTGTACTGGCGTTATAAGTTATGTACACCCTTCTAAGAAGTTTAAGAATCTATATAAGCTTAAAAAAAACTCAAAATGCAGAAATGTGACAGATATCCGTAATCGAATTTAGAATAAATCTTTCAAAGTAGTGTACAACACAGGTATTATGAGGAGCTGATGTCAAAAAGATAGGTCCATAAGATAGTAAGATAACAAACATTGAAAATCAAAGAAGCAATTATAGGTAGCATATTTATCCCGTGAAATACACAGAACAATTTTAATATAAAAGTATGCTAGCAATGGTACCTGAATGGGAATATACAGACCTGCACACGTCTCTTTACTTTCGTCGGATCCATCCTTACAGTTTGGATATCCATTACAGAGGTTTTCCTTTCTAATACACTGCAAACCATCAGCACCTTTGACATGATCTGGTAGGCACTGAAAATTTTAAAAAACATATTTGATTTGTATTTTAGAAATAGGATTTTTTTTTTTTTTTGCTAATGGGACAGGTCTCCACCGAAGACTTAATGATATATCAATTAACAACTTCAAGTCACTGTACGGCCTTCATGAGCGAAGCCCCGATATGACAAATCTAAATGAATTCAAATAAGGAACATAACGGCCTAATTTATGTACAAAACAATAAACGAAAACACAAATATAATATACAGCAACAAACAACAACCAATGAAATACAAGCTGCTAAATTGGGCCAGGCAAATACAGAATGTGGTGGGGTTAAACTATTCTCATAAATTCAAATTATTCCTACACTTTTCGTTATTCTAATATGAAGATTGACTTGTATATATGGACAAAATTTTCAAATGAAGGGCCATTTTTTCTGTATCATTCGTAAATGCAATTGTTTAAACATGTCTATCTTTAAATCGTTCCAATTTAGTGAACCGACCTAATTGTAAATATTCAACAACTCAAGACAGTAAACTTGTTTTTTTTTTAAATTTGCTTCTTATATCTTGAAGATTGCTAGAATGTTTTAATCAATAAAAATATGTTGACTTATATGATAATATAGATGAGTGCAGTACAAAAGTTAATTTGGAGTAGACTTTTTGACTGCTTTCCAAGTTAACTTGAGAAATTTAAAGCAGATAAGCAAGTTAACTTCGTCGTTGGTAGACCAGACCTAGTTCTGCTTTTTTAGGACTGCTGCAGACCTATTGACAAGTCTGCTCCAGACCAAACTAGGGGACAAGTCTGCTATGGAGCAGTCCTGAAGACAAGTCTGTCCCTCACGAGACATGAGGACAGGTCTACCCCAGACCAGACCTGAGGACAGGTTTGCCCCTGACCAGACGTGTGGACAGGTCTGCTACTGACCACACCTCAGGACAGGTCTGCTTATGACAGATTACCATGTTTACGACTTTTCATATGAGACCTGAGCTTTCATTATGTAAATAATAATCGTTTTGTTCTTTTTTTCCAGTATAGCAAATTACTATACTCATTGGTGACTCTGTATACATATTATCAACATTAAACAATTTTTTTTTCATTTCATATTTTTTTAAACATTAAATAATTTCACACTTGTAAATCGACAAATATACATGCATTTATCAAAAGTTTTTTTTTCTTTTTATCAGAAGGAGGATAGAAAGGTTATCCAACACATCGGACAAATATTTTTATACGATTAGAAATAAACATTACGTTGCTTCGTTCCCCATTTTTTACAGTCTCTTCCTAAATATAACTCTATGCATTACATGGATTATTCATCGCATTTCACATTGTTTGCCTTGGACTTACGATTCTGTTTTTGACAAAATGTTCGAAAGAAAATTGTATAGTGTCCGGATATATAAGGTGTTGTATAGTTAAGAATCATCTCGTCATTTGGCCATTTCGGCAGAAGCATGTGTACAGATCTGAGAGTACTTCCAGTTACTAACAGATAGTTCAAAGCCAATAACAGCTAATAAAAATAATCATGCATCTAAGACTTAATTAATCATCTTTACCGATTATAAATCATATCTTGGAATTCCAAAAAAATAGACTCGTTCTGAACATGAAATGCTTACCCCTGGACGTTCAGATACCACCAAATCAATTAACTGACATAATAAACTTAGTCAGTCAGTATACTATTCGCAGATGAGAACTTATCATACTTTTCATTATATAGTACAAATATATTCAGTTATGTCATTGCTGGATGATGCGGTCAAATAGTTTTGATATACAAACCATCCTTTTTTACTGACTTTAGCATGTTTAGTGACGGTTCAATATTAAGAATACGAAGAGGAAATGCTGGCACTCTAAATTGACACAGAAATATTTTGTAGTCATCATGGCCAAATATGTGCAAATATTGCTGTCATTTACTTTATACAAGCTATCCTGGGTTGACAAATTTATGATTTATGATGCGGCTATAAAATTGCAAATGATCATGAATATTATGGTCAGTCAGTAAAGGATTCCCAGATCATGTCACCTCATACACGTTATATGCCTTGTACATGTAACCTGTTACTTATAAAGAACATATATGGTCAGTGTTGGTTGATGCAGTAAAATAATTTGGTTATACGAGCCAGTCTTAGATATCAAAAGTACTGATTTTTTGTGACGCGTCAAGATTTTGAATGAAAGACGACATGCTGGTACTGTAAATTGATGCAGACAAAAGTTTGTAGTCTTTGTATTCCTATATTGCTGTCATTTGTATTATAAAATCCATACCGATTTAAATTACTGATTTATTACGCAGCCATATAGATTTTCATAATAAAGTGCAAATATGGTCTGTTCTGGTTGATGTAGTCAAATATTTTTGTGATATGAGCCATCCTGAGATATCAAAACTACTATTTTTTTTTTGTGGCGAGTCATATTTTGAATATGTTGAATACAAAGAGGATATGCTTGGCACCCTAAATTATTTATATAATGTGGACAAAATTTTGTAGTTATTGTGAAGCAGTATTGCTGTCATTTGTATTATAAAATACATCCTGATACAAAAAAAAATCCTGATTTATTATGCAGCCATATAACTTTACATAATAAAATGCAATATAGTCAGTTTTCATGGTTTTGGTTGATGCGGTCAAATAATTTTGTTATACGAGCCAGCCTGAAGTATCAAAACTACTGAATGTTTGTAACAGTCAATATTTGGAATAAAACGAGGACATGTTGGTACTCTAAATTGATGCAGACAAACTTTTGTGTTTTCATATTGCTGTCATTTGTATTATACAACCCATCCTGACATAAAAAAAATACTGATTCATTATGCCGCCATGTAAATTTACATAATAAAGTGCAAATATGGTCAATTTTGGTTGAGATATCAAAACTGCTGATTTTTAGGGGCAAGTCAATATTTTGAACCTGTTGAAAAAATAAGTACATGCTGGCACTATAAATTGAAGCGTACAAAATGTTATAGTCTTTGTGTTCTAATTTTGCTGTTATTTTTATTATACAATCCATCCTGACATAAAACCAATTTCATGCCGGTATATAAATATACATAAATAAGTGCAAATATGGTCTGTTTTTGTTGATGCGTTCAAATAATTTTGTTATACAAGCCAGCCTGAGGTATGAAACCTACTGATTTTTTTGTGGTGGGTCAATATTTTGAGCATGTTGTATAAAAAGAAGACATGCTGGCACACTAAATTCATGCGAACAAATTTTTGTAGTCATTGTGTTGAAATATTGCTGTCATTTGTATTATACAATCCATTCTGACATAAACTTATTACTGATTCATTATATAAATTTACATAATAAAGTACAATATGGTCAGTTTTGGTTGATGCGGTAAAACAATTTTGTTATACGAGCCAGCCTGAGGTATCAAAACTACTCAATTTTTGTTACGAGTCAATAATTTTAGTAAAAAGAGAACACGCTGGCACTCTGAATTGATGCAAACAAAATTTTGTAGTCATTGTGTTGTAATATTGCTGTCATTTGTATTATACAATCCATTCTGACATGAAATTATTACTGATTCATTATATAAATTTACATCATAAAGTACAATATGGTCAGTTTTGGTTGATGCGGTACAACAATTTTGTTAAACAAGCCAGCCTGAGGTATCAAAACTACTCAATTTTTGTTACGAGTCAATAATTTTAGTAAAACGAGAACATGCTGGCACTCTGAATTGATGCGGACAAAATTTTACAGTCATTGTGTTTGAATATTACTGTCATTTGTATCATATATTTCATCCTGATTTATTATGCTGCTATATAAATTTACATAGTAAATTGCAAATATGATCAGTTTTGGTTGATGCGGTCAAATAATTTTGTTTTGCAAGCCAGCCTGAGATATGAAAACTGTTGATTTTTGTTGATGATTCATTGTTAATTGGCACAGAAAAAGAAACATTTAATTTAGTAATGTGGGCATTCTGAATTATAGCCGACCATAAACATGATAAACATTAGTAACTGTGCACCAATATTGGTCACATTTATTATGATCATTTAATACAAACTAATTGCTATGCGTTTTTGTCATTGTTTATCGATTTTATCTGATGAAATTATCATTTTATATGATTAATGCTACATTTTAAAACAGTTTCAAACTTATAACATTTTATATAAAGTACATGTATATACAACTTAAAGAATTTAATATTTATTGAAATATATATTCAATGCACGTTAGCAGTGTAACCAATATCGTTTTCAATTTATGAAAAGGCAGATCACGGAGAAATTTGAATAACTAGCAAAGTTTAAAGCGTACTTTATTTACAAATGTATTTAATCTGTTTTTATCAAGAAACAAAGACGTTTAAAAATATTTTATAAAAAATCTATATAGAGCGGTCCTGGTTAAAAGTTAACTTAGTGTTGAACAGACCAGCCACAAGTTAACTTCAGATCAGGTCTGGTTCAAAATCAAAGTTAATTTATGGCAGGACTGGTTTCGAAGTTAACTGATAACAGTAGCGGACCTATTCCCAAGTTAACTTTTTTTTGGCAGTCATACAAACAGTCTACATAAGAAAATGTCTGTACCAAGTCAGGAAAATGACAGTTGTTATCCATTCGTTTGATGTGTTTGAGCTTTTGATTTTGCCATTTGATAACGGACTCTCCGTTTTGCATTTTCCTCGGAGTTCGGTATTTTTGTTATTTTACTTTTTTCCTAGGACCAAGTTCGCTTTTCAAGTTAACTTGATTGTGGTCCTAGGACCGGTCAGAGCAGTCCTAATTCCTGTCACATGTTAACTTTAGTCAAAATGACTGGTTAGCAATTTAACTTCCTGTACAGGTTAGGACTTCACCAATATGTAGTCATAGAACCGTATTTTCAAAAATTGTATCTTAACAGTAATCAGTGTTTTAACAAACGACAGTAAATTTAATTAAACTTTGCTCTTAAGAACCAACCTTTGCACATTTCTATATCTTCATCATCACCAGTTTTGCAAAATTCCTCACCATTACAGCGATCTCTTTCCGAATAACAGGCAATACCATCGCTACACTTCGTTGTATCAGTTGGACACGTTCGATCTGATGAATTGGTAGAAACAGTAAGGTGACTTAATAATGACAGTAATGCAATTACGAAATTAAGTTTTAAAATGATATTACTTTAAACTGTTGTAGTAGTAGCAGTGTAATAACGTAATAAACGTGTTACTACACGTACCTTTACTTTGACTTTACAGAATTTGAGTTATCCTACTTGTCGTTACAAATATAACACTTTCCATGCCAGATATGCATGTATTCATATTTAGATATAACCAGAGTTAGTTCGATTTGGTTTCTGAATGAACTATCATATATGCCATTGAATATAATAAAAGAAGCAAACAAGAAAACGAAAAAAAGCACAACACAGTAGCAAGGTTTTCGATAATGATTTTTAAAAGAAACCCATATCAATTTCGTATTTTTGAAATAATATTGAACTTGCCACATTAAAAATAAATGCGTATCTTTTGCAGTAAAATTAATAGCTTAAATGTCATTTAGTTAATGACACTGTTCTGGTTGCAATTTCATTTGAAAAAACCCGAATGTTCTTTATAGTAAAATATTTCATATTGCACAAAAAAGAAAAAAATAAACAAACTGTTTCTATCTTGAGATACAACAAGACACCACAATGTCTAAATTAGTTTATCCAGCTATACCTCACTACAAGAAATGTACTTACTTTTGCACATTTCAGGATCGTCATCAGAATCATCTTTACAGTAGGCGTAGTAATCACATAAAGTATATGCCGGAACACACTGTATCCCGTCTTTACATTTCATTTTTCCTTTTTGGCATTCCAAATCTAAATAAAAACAAGCAAATAATAAAATAAATGAGTGAACTACACTACTTGAATGATTTAGATACAGAATTGTTAGGTACAGAATATTGATTTAGCACCCATTGACCGGTTATATTCATATGACATCCAGTTAAGTCTAATATGAATTTTGGTGAGCATGATTTAACGTTCATGTTGCTTTCTAAAAGAACCCAGATGATTACAAGTAGTTTCTTTGTTAAACAGTAAAGGCTTGTGGGTTTTTTTTTGGGTTTTTTTTAATTGTAGGTTATTTTGTTGAAATCTCTGATTCGATGAATTTCCTAAAATTATTAAAGGCCATTAAGTATAAAATATTGAAAGAAAAAAGACAAAAAAAAAAAAAAAAGAATGCCTTGTTTTCATACAAAATATGAATTAAACATTTTCGTACGTCACATGAATTCTTACTATGCATTCTTTTTCAGTGGAAATTATGACGTCACAGATCATTCTGGATAACAAGAAAACCCATAATATGAGGTTATGCAACGAAACAATTATTTCATAAACAAATTACAGATTCCCGTTACAGCTAAACATTTAACATTGGTACCTTTACATATATCCTAATTTTCATCCTCTCCATTGTCACAAGTATTCCATTTATTACAGAATTACCATCTATAAGCACAACCAGAACCGTCTGAACATTCTCTACATTCTCCTCGAGGAATAACTTCCGTCCACCCACCTGTTTAGATTAAACAATAATCAATGACAACATCTCTTAATTTATTACAACGCTTTCATTCCACCAATGTGAAATTTCCTTGTGTGTTGCAAACTTCAAGCAATGGATGTTTTAAAGTATATATACGTATTTGCTTGATTGTTATATATGATCAAGGATATGTTCTATCCGTTGTTGAACTAAAATCTAGTACATATCCTCGATTGTGAAATAACTAAATTCTGCTTTCATCGATGTGTTATTTGCAACGAGTAATAGTACAACACTGCGCGGGACAAATTTGCCATTCCAGAATTGGCAAATCTGACTTTGTTGTTTTCCAAGATATCAAAAATATTTTTTGGTCAGGTGAAAGTTAATAAAAAAAAATAAATTTCCCCATATGTCCCAACATGTCACTGTTGTCACTGTTGTCACTACAGCTGATTAAAAGTACATTTCCCATGGGAATATTAGAAGTTCCCATGGGTAAATTTAAAGTTTCCATCGGAAAAAGTACTTTTCCCATTGGAATTTTAAAGTTCCTATCGGAACTTAAAAGTTCCTATGGGAACATTAGTAAATAGTTTGTTCCCATGGGAATTTAACTTTTCCTATAGGAGCAATTTTTCTTCCCATTGGAACATTTATTCTTCCTATGGGAACATTTTTTTCTTCCTATTGGAACAATTTCTCTTCCCATTGGAACATATATTTTACAACGGGAATTTTTTTTTCATTTTGACTGGTTTTTCTGCTAGAAGAATGGAAATGTGTTGAACATACAGGATTTATGTTAAATTATTGCTGAAAGCAGGTTTTCTATAAAATATCAATATGGTTTCGTATCTAAAGTTGCACTCAACATGCAACTTCCATTAAACTCTGATTATTCAGTAAGATTTGAAGCAATGATAAGTAAGATTTAAATTTTAAAATCAGTGCACATCTTTCTAGTGGCGAAAAACACGCATATCGAGTTACGTAGATGAAAAAGAAAAAGTATATTAATAATAATTATGATGTCAGTTTCATAAATTCACGGATTATAAATAGATAACAACCTTTAACACGATTTGTGATTTCCCATGTATATAAAGTTGAACAGATTTATTAAATTAAATTCTGAAATACACAGGCATGGCTCTGATCCTTGGCAGTTCAGCGAACAATATTACATGAACTGCACGATGCTATTAATCGAAAACAAAGGTGAAAGATTCAAATTGTAAAATCAGCCGCTGGACGTTAAATAGTAACCAATCAATAAACGACGATACATTGCAATCAATAAAAGACTTTTGAATGTAAAAGTAGGATAGAAATACCTTTAATTTATTGTAATTACATATTATTTTTTATCAATTGAAAATTTTTATAAAATGCTACTGGTTATTAGTAACCGTCAGTTAATTGCGATATTTCATAGCTCTTTTACAAATTCGGAAAAAAATAATAAAGGAAAAACAAAGGTTCCCATGGGAAGAATATATTTTCCCAAGGGAAAAAGATGTTCCCATGGGAAGAAAAATTTGTTCCGTTGGGAACAAAAATTCCCTTGGGAAATTTAGAATTTCCCATGGAAGAAACTATTTACTAATGTACCCATGGGAACTTTGAAGTTCCGATGGGAACTTTAAAATTCCCATGGGAAAAGTACTTTTTCCGATGGGAACTTTAATTTTTCCGATGGGAACTTCTAATATGGGAAATGTACTTTTAATCAGCTGTAGTGACAACAGAGATAACAGTGACATGTTGGGACATATGGGGAAATTATTTTTCTATCACTTTGCCAAAAAATATTTTTGTAATCTTTTAAAACAACAAATTCAGATTTGCCAATTCTGGAATGGCAAATTTGTCCCTCACAGTGTTGTACGATTGTAACTATTTTGGGCTCTGCTTTACATGTGTCTTAAACATCTAAGCAGTCTTTTTGAGTATACTTATCTACCAAACATGCACGAACAGATTCCTGTTTCTGGAAATTTAATAAAAATATCGTAATATTCTAGTCTCCTGAAATCTAACGTTTTATACAAATATGTATAGAATCAACTACTTTTTACAAATTAAAACTTTTTTTGATATTTGGGTTTGTTTAGATTAGTAATTTTGTTAACTGTATATTCATTTATTCAACTGAGATGATTAATGACAAAACAGACGTATACTGTGCATTTCAAACAAAAACTTCGAATACACGATCCGTGCTGCTTGTGAAATGATAGAACACACCCCAATATTCGAAATTATTACATTGTGAAATAAGCAGCCATCAATACACAAGTTTATCAACCTATGACATAAAAACATTATAAATTGTTCATTTAATACGATTCAGTGTGTATACGAGATGGTCATTGATACAGAAAAAAAAACGGAAAGTACATATTTTTTACTGGCCTCAATACAGGATTTATTTTGGTTCAAAAACAAATGTAAATGTGTCAAAAATGAATAAATACATTACGCGAAATATTAGATTTTAACATGTTTGATGTTAGAGTTGTTTTTTTCCATATGCTATACTATTGTTGATAGTATATTCAATTATGGACGGCAGAAAGTGTGAATATCCAGATTTGTCAACAATAAAAGATTATTTCTCTGACAGCGCAGTCCGAAGTGAGAGAAATGTGTAAAATTGGCAATTTCTGATATGCACCGCTTCGAATGGCCACATTTGTGTACTTACAGCACAGGTTATTTGTTCCATTGGAAATACATGTCAAAAAAGCTTTTGAACATGTCTTACTGTAGCAACAAATAATTTGTCAAAATATTTATGCCAGAGAATTATTTTGACTTAAAAGAGGTTCTTTTTTTTATCGGTGAATCATTCCTTTCATTAAAATGAAATTTAACGCAAATAGTTCACATTGATCCTTTTATGTATGAGTCTTCCTACAGTCGTGTTTTTCATCAGTCAGCATACCTCGACCCAATACGACTGTACTTGAAGACAATACAGTTAAAAAAATGAAAACACTCATTTAAGTGCAACCTTGCATAGATACAAGTATACTTTACCTGTTATTGCAGTCAAAAACAACACTACAAAGGAAGGATATTGATTAATGGCTTTTTCCATTAATGTTTAGCTCAGATTAAATTCTATGATAAATTGAGGATTGCTTAACGTCCTGTCTCATTAATTCCAAGAATTATCTGACTTAAGAATAATAAAATATATACTTACACTTTGTAGAATACATTCGAGATGTGAAACTTCAAGTAAATCATAAAGTGAGTAGAAGACGAATTTAAATGTTTACATATAATTACTGACATTTCAGAAAGTGCCGATTATCCTGGTTTGAAACACTTATCTCTTTATAAACTGTTTACCTTCATTAAATCATTATCGGCCTTTCTAAATAAAATTTTATATTAACAATAAACTTTCAAATTTCACCTATGATGACTATTTCAAAAGTTTTATTTATTTAATTGACGCTTAGGAATAAAAGATAGTTTGACATAGAAATAGCCCGGGATTATTGTAAAATCATAATACTTATCACCATTGATTTGACTTTGTATTATATAAATGAAGTTTAAAATCTGTCAAAATATTAAGGTCGTATTTTTTTTTTAATAGTTTCTATTATCGTATATTATATTCTGTCAGGATGATGTCTTTTACCTCAAATTAACATTTGAATTTATTCTGTTAATTTTTGCCTTCCATCTGTTTGAATCGAGCGCTCCTAATGAGTCATAGAGTAGATGAAATACGAGTATGACCTATCATATTATAAGTATGTTTCATATCTTGGGCATAATTCTTCTCTAAAAGTAACCCTCAAGTATTAATGAAAAAAATATATTTGAACTTTGATTTAAAAAAAATGTATCTGTAATTATTTGCGATTTTTCGTGATTAATATTTTGTCATTAAAACATGTAAAACAAATGGATAACCCAAATACAATATAATGCTTCTCCCACAATTCTGTCAATATAACAGAATTATGGGAATAATGACTCGGTTGATGAAGTCGAGCGGTTTTTTTTTCAGTTTAATCGACTTCTCCTTTAAGAAATTACCTTTGAGTTGGGTTTTGTGTAAAACCATTTTGAGAGTAATAAGTAACCGAGTTTTTTTGTGGGTACGATTCAAAATTAAAATGTACGGTGGATTCGTTTATTTATAGTTGTTTACTGTTTCTCAAAAGGGTTAAACATGTAATTACTGTGGATTTGTTTGTATTCTTGGGGTAGTGGTTGTCATGGTTTCCATGAGTGCAGATACACCACGAATCCATATGGTCTATGGTATTCCATGTTATATAATTATAGATTAAACGAAATTTATCTCTGTTTCTTAATAGAGCTTTTATATTCCACTACATAGTTTCTACAATAACCCATTTAGACATTTTCTACGGTTTAATTCAGACGCTCGGATTATATAATTACCACTTTGGTTTAGATACCCATTATTTTTACAACAAGTCCTTCTTAGGAAAAAAAAACAATTAATTTTTAGACTTACATATACGACGGAATTCGCATTTGAAGAGATAATTTAAAGTAAACAGTTCAGTAAATGTGAGAAAATCTTACAGAATTAGATTCAATATCTGACATTTCAAAAACTGTTATATTATAGAAGTTTGAAAGGCTAACTATGTTTTATTAGCCAATTACCTTCATTAAAGTTTTGAAAATATTTCTAGAGTAGACGAATGTATGGCCAGGGAACCCAACTATTGTTAAATTAACAATAAGAATCATTCTGACAATCAATTAAGTAAATGACAGTTAATTAAACAAATGTTATCACTAGATAGGAACACTATGAAATTTCATCATATCATATGTACATTGTAACTGTGTGTGTACATTTTATGTGTTATTCATATTTGTTAGTCAATGTAAAATATACAAATATTATACAATCAAATGCATAAAATTTCCAATTGTATGTCGTTTACAGCCACTTCATGTATTTTCATGGATGTATATGAGGTTAAGAAATTACTAGACAACTTATCCGAAAAAGAATGTGTCGTCAACATATTTTGTAGTAAATCGTGTTAGGTCTTTTTT